GGGCAGTGCTGTGGGTTTAGGCAGTATTAAAACTCCCCTGGTTGGGAAATGAGCTGGCGGTGCCCCTGTCTCACACCAAGCTGTGAAACCCCAAAACTCTTCCCATTGCCCTCCACACATGGCATCCCCCACAGACACACGCAGCTTCCAGGCCAAGGAAAGCTTTACAATAAGTTTGACCCAAGCAACAAGCTAGTGATGGGACACTCCATATTGCATTACACATGACGGGAATGGTGTGGTTGGTGTCACGGGTAGTACTCAATGAACAGCCCAGTATCTGGACTGGGAGAGCAGTTATCATCCAGTGGAGGGTGACAGCCAGGCCAGCTCCTGGGCACAAATCTGCTGCAGGACAATTTGTCCTTGCAACTATACCTGGGTTCCTCCCTGATACAAAGACTGATGTTAAAAACACACCCGGGTGTTTGCTGAAGGGGGCAAATGAATAATTCAGGCTTACTGTTCAAGCTCTGTGCTCAGGCACAAGGATTTATAAAAGCCGTTTACAAAAGCTGTTGGTGTTTCTTTCTTTGAATGCAATGAAAAGTACTACGGAGGGGCGTCTCAGGGCCCAGCCTGGGGTGCTGAGGTGATGTGACTTGGGGTGTTTTGCTGGTGCACAGCAGCCAGCCCTGGTCCCTGGAGGAGAAGCCAGGGATGCGCCACGGAGCCTATGTAACACCAGGTGGCTGCCCATTTCCATAGAAACTGAGGATGACGGGATGCAGGCCCTCGAGGTGCCTATGGAAATTGCAGACAGGAAGAGCGTTCCCGGTGGCCCTGATTTTATTAGCAACACACAGAAGGAAAATCCCTTTTGAGAGACGAGTTTCACCCCTGCCACATCCCTTTTGAAATGCTCATCCCCATGAAATTCCTGCTGCCGTGTTCTTGTTCAAACCAACTTGCTGGTGACTGGCATTTGCATAAACCTTAATTATCAGTGTGTGACTCCACAGAGGCTGTGGGGAGAGCAGAACAAAGGACCAAAATGAGGAGGAAATTCTCTCAGCACCTTAGCAAGCCCATAGTTAAGGGCAGGCTGAATCTGGCTGGCTCTCAGGAGAAAGGAGTGACACAGATTTATCATCTATCTTCACACCCTAAACTTTAATTAAGGCACCTGCCTAGAAATTAATAGGCACAAAACCTGATTTACAAAGCAAAGGAGATTGAAAGATAAAGGCAGTTTCCACTCCTATTATTTGCAGTTCAGCGCTGTTAATGGCTCACTGAGAAAAAGACACTCGGAGTCCTCACAACGGCAAGCAGGCTGGCGGGCTGGGCTCCGCAGCACAGCCATTAAGATACCAAAACAAATAGCATGCAATTGCAAAGAGAAGCTTTTTAGGCTTTTAATTTAGACTTTTAATTTAGATTTTTAGGATCAGAGCTCTGCTCCCTTGCAGCAATTTCAGCAGTCGAAGAGATTCCTGGTGGAGCAGGCAGGGTGTCCTCTCTGCGCTGGATTTTGGGGACTTGGCTCATCACCTTCAGGAGGAGACCCTTCGCTAGGGAACCCAGTGCAGCCCCTGGGATTTCACCGGGTAGTCCTGGTGCTGAGCCCGGTTAGCAGGAGCACCCCGAGCACACAGTGAGCCCCAGGGCCCCCAGCCGAGCTGGTAGATGCAGGAAGGGAGCCAGCCCCAGAGGTGTGGGAGTGCCAAGGGTGCACTGCACTCAAATACCTGGGAGCTGCATAAACCCATCGGTATCCCAGCTCTGGGGCTCAGAAAGAGGACTCAGTCCAAAAAAATCCTGGCAGGGCTACCAACACTAGGCTGAGCCTAGCTTTGCTCCAGGCACAGGGGATCATGAGTGTTGCTCAAGATTTGCCTGTGCTGAAGACATCTGGGGCGGGCTGAGTTTAACCCCAGGGACATGGCAATGGGGAGGAGGCTGGGGAAGGAAGACAGAGATCTCTGGCCTCTGCAATCAGCTGAGCAGGAGCTGGAGCTGAGAGAGAGACAGTGGAAGGGAGAGAGCAATGCAAGGAGAAAGTGAGGCTCCCTCAGCTGCCTCGCAGGCATCGCTCCGCAAAGGAAGCAGTGAGCGGAAAAGCCGAGCTGGGCAGGAATGCACCCCGCTCACCAAATCACATTCATGGCTCCCCTCGGCAGCTCAGCCCCTCTGCTCCACCCTGAGCAGTGGGAAGTGAAACCTCGTTGTCCCATATAGCACGTTCCTGCTTCTCCTGAAAACCCAGCCAGACTGGCATCTTCCCTGTTGGCTCAGCCAGTTCCCATACACAAAGGCAGCAGTTTCTGCCCCTTCACACAGGATCAAAGGCTTCTCCCATGCTTCCCCCTCAGCTTAGGGTGACTCCAGGCTCCATGTCCAGCTTGGGTACCACCCTCTGTTGAGCTGGGTCCCCACTGCACCCCCCGTGTGGACTGCATCCACCCCTAGGCTGGGGGCTCCAGCGTTTCCCTTTTGCACCCCAGCAAGGCGAACCATCGGTCCCATTCTCCAAGCAAACCCCAGGCTGTCCCAGACAACTTCAGCACAGCTGCATCCCAGTCCGAAAAAGGCCGATGTGCTTTTTCCAGTGACTCATTCTCAGCCTTTCCTTTCCTCTTCTTTTTTTTTCACATTTAAAGGCACAGCCTCAGCCTTGCACCCAGCAGGAGCCAAGCGCCTGCTGCTCGCCCCACCCAAGCACAGGGCCTGAGAACCTCCTCCCTCCTCCCAAAAGCTGACAGCCGAGGACACGTTTCAGACTGAAGAAGGAAGCTGCCAGACTCTGACGAGTGTTTTCACATCACCCATCACATCAGCCTCAACTGCATCCCCGCTTCTGCACAGCCCCACATGCTGCCAGGAAACCCCCCCAGCCAGAGCAAAAACCACATGAGCTGAGAAGGCTCCAGAACTGGTTTCAACAACTTTTCAAGTAAGTGATTTCATGTTTTTTCTTGCTTTCATGCATGTTTTGGGGAAAGACTTTAACAGAGACTGCTAGAAAATGATCTGCTGCAAACAGCTTCGCCCCTCCTACCCACCCTTCTTTCTCCCAGACAGGCACCACAACCACCAAGCAGAGGAAGGGTAACCCCCCAAAAGAGCATACTCCCCTTGGCCAGATCCTCTTACTTTGGTTTGCCAGTTGCCAGGCTCTGTCAGGAAGATCACAGGGCTTTGTTTATCAGAGCTATTTGCTGGTAACTCTAATAACAGGGTTTTGAACCCCACGCACTAGAACAAGTTTGCAGGTTTAGCGTCTGGCTGCAAACGTGGTCTACCACAAAGCGCAGCAGCCAGAGATGGAGGCCTGGCTCCCCGTCACGTGGCTGCAGTTTTCAGCTGGTCTGTCTCCTTTGCTGAGGATATTTTGCATATGGAAAACTAGGAAGATACAGGAAGACACTAAGGGCTGCCTGTGTCTGAGGCTGGCAATATCACAACATGACTTTAAAGGGAATGCCATGGGTTAGATACAACAGGGAACCAAGTTTCTGCCCCCTCTGCTGCCCTATGGAGGAAGGGGGTAAAACAAGATTTGGTGGGGCAGATGAACTTAAGCACAGCAGTGATTTAAAGTACAGTGCATGAGCAAGCCTTGTACAAGAGACCATAAGGATTAAGGTGCCTACGCTTCCTCCGCACCAGTGTCCCTGCAGCCATTTCCCTGCAGATGGGGCTTGGCCCAGGGAAGCCTTCCTGGGAGATGCTGACATCGGGGCAGATTTCAAGCAGCCCTGCTGTGGGTCAGGGCTCCCTCGAGTAAGGTGCTTAAAGCTTCCTGACATGAAATCCTGTGAGGATGCAGCAAAGACGGAAATTCAACAAAGAAACTTATTAAATGCAGCTTGCAAGTGGCATAGGGGACTAGGCATCACTGCAGAGGACATGGATACACCCCCCAATTTTTCCCTGTCCTTCAAAAAGACCACAGTACATGCTTTCTCCTTCTTGGTCCTGAGTGCCTGCAGTCCACACAGCCCAGCCTTAGGGGTGGGGTGGGCATCCCAGTATAACCAGTGTTGTACTGGGAGAAGGGGTTGAGAAAAGCTGCACAGGCAACCAGCAGCGAAGTGCACCTCTGGCACTGAGCTGTGAAGGTTGAGGGGCTCAGTTTCAGGCCAGCAGTTCAAGGCTGAGCCAAGACTGTGGGCTATGACAGGGAGTACGGTTCTATCAACCCACTGTGGGAGAGGAGGAGATCATCCTGCCACACCTAATCCTAGCAAAAAAACTCCTACGTAATTGCTGATGCAGCTCGATTGGCATTTTTATCCTGGGTCACATCAAGATAGATAAACTCCACTTTCCCAGGAAGTAACTAATTTTGCTGGTATCAGCAGCCTCTCAGCATCCCCTCACACTTGCCAGTGGAGGCTGCTCCTGCCTGGTCCTCCCATGCTGCATCTCTCTGCCTCCAGACCAGCAGGGCCATCCTCCAAGACAAACCTTTACCTATTACTCAATATTAACTCATCAGGTCTTAAGAGGGATGTGAAAGCCACACACAGCACTTTCAAGGCAGTGCTGCACCAGCGTGCACGTGCCTTGTGTGCTTGGGCTAGCATGAGTCAGGCCTGGGGACACATCAGTGCTGGTGCTCTGGTCCAGTTTTCCCAGTAACACGGCGTCCTCCTTCGTTGTAGGCTTGGGAGATCGAGTGTCTGGCAGCGACGCTGACTGTAATGGCCTCTGCGGGAGGTGACTAAAACCAAAGAGAAGACAACTAACGTGCAAATGACAGGGCCAGAAATAGCTGTCCTGTTGGTAATCGTCGCTGTAGAGACGCTTTCGGAGAGCTTAGTGGGAAACTGAAATGACTGAGGTTTCACACATTGCTTAGGCTGAACCCTTCTTCAGCCCCTTTGAAGTATCCCTGCCATCAGCAACCAGCTCAAGACAGGGACACCAGGAGGAAGGAAGGGACAGCAGTGAAGGTGTTGTGCTCCTGGAGCAGTCCCTTGTACATCAGCCGGCCCAAGGACATTCCCCCTCCATTGGCGTGTCCTTGGTGCTGGGAGGTGGTTCAGCACGGCCTCCCCCAGCAGTACCCGCTTCCTCTCACCCCCAGGACGAGATGGCAGCTCTCATTGCTGAGAACTTCCGCTTCCTCTCCTTGTTCTTCAAGAGCAAAGACGTGATGATCTTCAATGGTTTAGTGGCCCTGGGCACGGTGGGGAGTGAGGAGCTCTTCTCTGTTGTTGCCTTCAACTGCCCTTGCTCCCCTGCCCGCAACTACATCTATGGGCTGGCTGCCATCGGTGTCCCAGCTTTGGCCCTCTTCCTCATTGGCGTCATCTGGAACAACCACACCTGGAATCTGGTGGCCGAGTGCCACAAGCGTGGCATCAAGAACTTCTCTGTGGCTGCCACCTTCCTCCTCTTTGGCTCCATCATGGGCCGGGCAGCCGTGGCACCCGTCACCTGGTCGGTCATCTCGCTGCTGCGCGGGGAGGCTTACATCTGTGCCCTCAGCGAGTTTGTCCAGCCATCCTCCTTGGACAAGTTCCCAGCTGAGTATGGGGCTGATGTGCTGGCCAGGTTCCCCTGTAAAGATGTGCCGGCAAACCTCACCAAGTTCAGGGACGAGGTGACGCGGAGGCTGAGATACGAGTCCCAGGTAGGCACGCTGGGGAGAAATCCACACAAAGTGGGTAAGACCACCTCGCTGTGTCTTAACACAGCCTCTCTCTTCTCTCTCAGCTCTTTGGCTGGCTGCTCATCGGCATTGTTGCGGTCCTGGTTTTCCTCACCAAGTGCCTGAAGCACTGCTGCTCACCGCTGAGCTACCGGCAGGAGGCTTACTGGGCCCAATACCGCTCCAACGAGGACAAGCTCTTCCGTCGCACAGCTGAGGTCCACTCCAGGATCCTGGCAGCCAAGAATGTGAAGCAATTCTTTGGCTTTGTGGCGCTGGACAAGGAGGAGAAGGAGCTGGTGCAGGAGTTCCCAGTGGAAGGCGTGCAGCCAAGCCCCCAGTGGAATGCCATCACGGGTGTCTACATCTACCGGGAGAACAAGGGCTTCCCCCTCTACAGCCGGCTCCACAAATGGGCCAAAGGGGTGGAAGGGAATGGACCAAGCCCGGAAGGCCATGAAATGCTCTTTTTGGCTTCCTAAGATGGGTGCTGGCAGTTACTCCCCAGACTGCCTGGTAGGCCTATCAGTATTGGTGCACAGGCTGAGGGTTTCACTGGGAATATCCCTCCCAGCAACAGTTCTCTCAACAGGTAAATAGGGATCAAGAACCTCAAGGTAGAGACTAAAGCAATACACTGAGCAGGGAACACCTCCCTTAGAGAAAACCTCGCTGCTGCTCCCAGAGACAGAAGGGGAGCAAAGAGCAGATGCAGACCTTACATCCAGCTTCCAGTGCACCAGCAGAAGCCTTGGGGAGCAAGAGGTGGGCACATTTCTAACCCTGACTCCTGCAGTCCCACTTGTCTCCCCCATGGCAAGGTTAGCCCCAGTCATCTCGCACACCTACTTTCGTTATTGACATTGGTATGTTCTCAGCCAGTTGCGCTGTGCCTGTTACGCAGGCAGATCCCAAAGCAATTTCCGGGCATTACAATGCAGGGAAAGAGGGAAGCAGAGTGTAAATTCCTGTGGCAAGAGGGATGCAATAGCACCTGGGAAGAAATGGGTCAGTAATAGAGCAGCACACCAAATAACTGAGAGACTAAGATAGGAAGAATCACCAATATTCCTGGTATTCAGAAAGACACTCTGTAATTAACCAGTTGGAATCTGGGTATGACACCAAACTTCCTTTGTTCTTATTGAAGTGCCTGGCAATCTCCAATCAGTCCAAGTGGTCACAACCGTAAGTTTATAAACCCAGAGGATGGCACCATCAACAGAATAGTTTTCAGGGGAGGTGGAGGCTGAGAGGCAGCAGTACCTGCTGTGAGCCACACCACCATCTGCAGCTCATTGCATTTCTCATCGAACCATTGGATGAGTCCTGCTTGTTTGGGTTGCAAGCTGCAGCAAGACCTCAACCAGAATTACTTTTATATTATGTATATATACACACACACATACACATATAGTATATATGCTATGTAATTGTAGTTAGCTAGCTGTATTAATGGAACATCTTTCTTCGAGGGAAAGGGGACAAGAAGGTTGCCAGCCAAAAGAGCTTACTACATGCACCCATCTGCTGCCCTGGACTACAGCCCTGGAGTGACAAGGGACATAGGAATGGGATGGGGGAAACAGTCCTCTCCCTACCCTACTGAATTTTCTTAAACTCTACTGCCTTATGCAATCACTGCAGCAGATGGCATCTTCTATGGACTTGGCCATACTCTGAGAAAGCAAAGCCAGAAAAGTGCAGTATCACTGCCCTCACTGTGACACTGTGCTGCCAATGGCTTCAAGGCTGCTCTTCTGGCACTGCAGTGTTCCTTTTCTCCCCAGGGTCAGCCATACATACCCAACACTGTTTTAACAGCTGGCAGGACAATGAAGTGGGATTTTCTCCTACTTGTACTATTTCTTTATAGGTACAACTTCCTTTTACACTGCACTGTTTACTAAAAAGCCTTAAATTGCTCAAAAAAAAAATGATTCAAACCCACAGAACTCAGAGGGGCTCACACACCAGGAGATTTTAAATAAATTATTAAATGAGTTACTTTGCATTGCCTTCTGAGGGTTTTTTCCAAGGAGGTAAAAAAACAAGGGCATAATTTAATATTCTCTTTGAACTCAAGGGTTGGGAACCTACTTTTTCTATTAAACATTCAGATCCTCTCTTATTCCCCAGAATGTCAAATTTTAAAGTGTTACCACATATTACAAGTTAGTAGCACTGCTTTTTAGCTATTCTCACAGTGATCAGCATGAAACTTGCACATTGGGATACTAAATTGCAGCAAAGGATAGAGAATGTATTTAGAAACCTTTTTACAAATATGTCCCCTTGCAAGAAAGAGCTGGAGGGTATTCCACGTAAAGAGGCGGAACACTGCTTAATGGGCAAAGGATCCCCAAGATCCCTGTTCAGCTTCTTTCCAGATTTGCCTTGCATTTTTAGAAAGGCTTTGCCCCCAGCCTCTCCATCAACTGCAGGAGCAATCAGATGCAAATTAAATGAAATTGCATTAACTTGAGATGAAAGAAAGTTCATTTGCATTTCTTCTCATTGGCTTCAAGTGGGAACATGCAGACACACATACCACCCCCACATGCAGGTCAGCATATGCAAGGTGACTTGCTGAAACAAAGCAGCGTTCCTCTTGCTTCCTTTACTTCCCTGGCCTTCCTCCTTGGTAGTCGTCACTGTTCCTTTGAACCACCTCCACTCCAGTTCCTTCTCCCCCACATCCTTCCTTTGAAGGAAAGGGGCAAGACACGTAATGCTTGGGAATGGATTTATTTATCTCAAGAATAAATCATGAGCACAAACCAGCTTTTGCGCTATTTATCTCACTTCTCCATTAACTCCAGTAACTTTCCATGTGCTGGGATGGGGATGGGGCTTGTCCATTTTCCCTCCCTCTTCTTGGAGAGGCATGTTTGGGTGGACAGCTGACAGTGGGAAGTGGAGCAAGCCGCCACATTCAGAAATACTTGTTTGCAATTACAGGGTTGGGATTTTTTTCCTCCTCTCTGCCACCCAAGCATGGCAGCCCCCACTGAGACAGCTCTCATAGCTCGTTAGTACCCTCATGAATATCCCTGCCATCTGTGTTACTCATTCACCCCCAGTGAGGATTCTGAGGTGAGGGACATTAACCCACATGGATTTACACACCAGCACAAGAACCAGGCTAGGCTTCTCCCCAAAACGTCCGATTTCCTGGTATGCTGCATTACACAGGCTGCAAGATCACATGCCCTCTGCTTTTCCTCCAGAGGCCAAAACCAACCCCATTGCAGAGAAGCCTATAGGTTGCCACTTGGGGCAAACGTCCCAACAGCAAAATGGGTTAAAACCAAGCTCCTCCAGTATGGAGGATTACACACAGGTCTTTCATTTTCCCTGCTGACTACTGTAGAGACTGTAATAGCCCCAGTAGTCAAGAAGAAACAATGCCTCAAAGGGATCTTGGTTTCTATTGTGACGCTTATTTATGTATTCTATTATATAACAATTAATCCAAAAGAAAAAGCCACTGTCATTGCAGCTGTGCTCTTAAGAAAGCAGCAGCTGTTACTGGATGTTGCAAGCAGCCTCCTCCTCTAGAAGAGCATTAAGCAAAATCTGAGTACAGTATCCTGCTCTTCCTGGGGGCAAGAAGTGAAACAACTGGTTTCCGGATCCCAACAGACTTGGGCATGAATTAAATGCTGAATCATTCAACCTTGCCAACAGTGGGCATTCAAAGAGGCAGAAGAGCTGGGTCCTGCAGAGCTCTGGTTTTGAGTTCAGAGCACTTACAATGAGTAAGACTCTTCCAAGTTTGATATTTCAAAGCTGGGCACCCACTCACTAGTGTCTACATTGGATAATCTTAGAATGGTTAGGGCTGGAAATGACTTTGGGATCATCTAGTTCATGTAAAACATGTAGAAGATGACATCCACACCTTACTGGAGTTGCAAGAAGGCACCAACACCAGTGATGGAGACTACAGAAGCACCCAAGATCCCTGGCTTTTTCCAAGCAGAAGGTTAGATTGGGATGACTTTTTTTCAGCACAGAAAAAATGCTTTTTTCTTTGACTTCACTGATTTCTCTTGAGAGACAACAACTACAATTTTTTCTGTCATCAATCCCTGGCACCTTGTTACGACAGATGGTTGCAGCCATGGGATTCATCACAACTGGATGCTGTGGACTTTAAAGGCAAATGCCCTTTCAGATGAAGAAGACGAGCATTCTGCGGTGCACTAGGAAAAGCATTACCAGCAGACCAAGGGAGGTCATCCTTCCCCTCTGCTCTGCAGTAGCGAGACATCGGAGATGATGTATCAAGTGCTGGGCTCCCTAGTACAGGACAGATACAGGCTTACTGAATTGAGTCTAGCAGAGGGACAGGAAAGTGATTAAAGTGATTATGGAATTGGACTATCCATCATACAAGAAGAGGCTGAGAGCTGTGGCTGATCAGCTTCAGGAAAAAGCCCAAGGTAGCTCTGATTCACATGTATACTTGACACAAGGATGTAGAACAGATATGGCTGATGTTTGTATTGGTTATAAAACAGCCTATATTTAAAAAACATGTCTTCAAAGTCATCAACAGACCAGGATTATTTGTAACATCTGGACAAAGCTGCAAACATTTATCAAATCTATTCCTTAGTTTGCTCTTTGCAGTTTGGTTTGGTCATAGACCAATACTCTCCAGCAACTCACTGTCCATGGACACTCATGGCAAAATTCCACGTCTCAGTTTCCACATTGCATTTAGAGCTGAGTCTCTCTGCTTTTACTTGCATCGTACTTAGATGTCAGCAAGGGAACTCTTGGTCTCCACATATTCAAGTGCTGCTCTTTTAACAGCCAGGACACTTTCTGTTGTGCCAAATTTCTTCTCATAATCCAGGTAACGTTTAAAGAGGAATTTCATCTTCTTTGGTGCCAAGCTCAGGTGTACAACCCTCTCAAAGATGTCCCTGCAAGAAACCAAAGTAACTCAGAACACTGGTGGTGACAGCTCTCAGTACAAGCCCCCCAGTCTCGCAACTGAGCAAAGAGCAGGAAGTGACAGAAGATATTCAACCTGCTTGAAGAAGATTCCTGACATCTGGCCAAACCCTCGAAGTAGAAGCCTTCTATTTGCTTGCAGAACATTAAGGCTGCTGGTCAACTTAAGCTAAGATCCAGCCACTGTATTTGACCCTGTGTTTGTTAAGTAGATGTGGCTGGATCCATAGTGTAGGAAGCTGCCTTTTGTGAAGTCTCAGAAAAGAGAAGGCAAGAAAAAAAAACCTCCACCTTTATGTTACAGGATACACAAGGGATCGATCTCACCCTTGAGTACAAGGCAATCCCTCTGGAGAGACAGATGAACTTCAGTGCAAGTCCTCTAGTTTCTCTCATGTAGGCCACTACTTACAAACCAAGTCTCTCTCTGCCCTATGGACCTCCTTGGAATCCCCTCAGCCCTGGCAAGGATAAGCACTTCCATACACCCCAGTTTTCTTTCTCTAGGTGACAAAAAATCCTCTTTTGCTTTGCTCTAGGAAGCCCTATACACACTGCAGGGCACCTCTGCTCTCTTCAGGTGTTACTCCAAGCACTGTACTCTGTCCCTTCCCAGCCTCCTGTAGCACAACTCACCGTACTTCCTTCTGGCTGCCATGTTTGATCATGATGTCTATGTAGATGGACCAGATGTCTGTTCGCTTGGGATAGCTGCTGAGGGTGCTCTCAAAGAGAGCCCTGGCATGTTCTGAGTCCCCAGAACGGAACTCCAGCTGTGCAAACCTTGAAATGACATCCACATCTGGAACAAGTAATGACATGTTAGGGTATCACAACAGTTCTCTTCCCTACGAACAAACCCATGAGTGGCAATTACATAGAACAGAGGCAGACACAGAGACAGCACCATCTCTACCCAGAGACAAAAGGCTCTATTGTAAAGTGGTTCCGCACCAAGGTGGAATCAGAATGGGAGAGAGAAGGGTCACACTTCACGTCCCATTTCAGCTCTTTGCAGGAGACAGAAATTTATTCTTAAATTCAAAATGCATGTTGCAGCATCCATGGGCAGCCCCACAAACCTCCGACTAGACCAACTAAACTTTTTTAGAGGGCTGTAAGAATCAAAACAGCCTTTGCTTTGGGTGCCTTGCTTTTGCCATATCAGCAAATTCTATTACAGGAGGATTTAGCACTGATATCCACATTGAAGCTTCCCCTCCCCTGAGAGACAAAGGCAGCATGTTCAACACCAACTAGCTGCACTTTTCACCTATTACAAACATTGTCACAGGCAAAGGTATCAGAGAGCAGACCATCTGCTGGAGACCTGTCAAAACATGGTCCACATTAAGGATGGGGAAGAGTACTTACGTTCTTTGGTGGGCAAAGCCTTGAGAGCACGATCCAAAAGCCTGTGTGTAGCCTCAGTCTGGCCTTGCCTCAGGAGGAAAGAGGCATATTTCAGCCACACAGACTTCTCCTGACGGAAACGCTTCAGCATGGTGTGGTACAATTCTTCTGCTTGCTGGAAGGGCAGAGTTGGGTTAGATCACACAGATTCATAATGAAGCCATGGAGCTTTAAGACTTTTACTCTTGGCCCAGCTACCTCCAAACACTTAGGCTGGAAAAGCAAGTATCAATAATTCCTTGTCTGCTGTCAATCATAACTATTAATTTCAGTTAGGAACAGGAGAGGCCTAACATCTGACATCTGTAAGTTTATACAGCCAGTACTGGTAGTTTACTACCAATGGCATGACTGGATGGGACACATAACTAGGACCTGCTGACACTATCTTACCTTGTACTTCTCTGAACTGGCATATATGTCACACAGATGCTGGAAGACTTTCAGAGGTTCATTGTATTGAATGGCTCTCTCAAAGACCTTCATCAGTGTCTCCTCAGTACCATACATGTTCTCCAAGTTCAGCAAAGCTACCCAGACATTCAGCTTCTCCTGTTCTTCCCTTAAAGCAGATGTAAACAAGAATATTTAGTCTTTTACCAGTCTTCATCAGCTTTTTGCAAACCACCCTCCAAAGACTCACTGAGTTGTAGCCTGCCTCCAGCATAAAGGAAGGGGGCATACTGCTCACTGAAATACCAGTTTTGGAGCAAAGCACAGCAGCTGTTTCACACGACAACTTTTGATCACCGTTGTTTGTAATTAAAAAACACAAGGATGATTCAAGAAAGCACAATATACTTAATCATGGTGTAGAGATGATTTAATATACAAGGGTGCAGCCCTGTGAAAAAGCGATAGGAGTTTCACAGTTTGTTTCATGTTTTAATTCAAAGACAACATCACTGACAGCATTATGCTCTTCCAAACCCTTCTGACTGCTCAAAAGTATGTGTGCACTCAGTGACACCCTGGGGGAATTATTGCACCCATGAGCTGCAGCAACCAAGCTGCAGGCCAACTGTGGTGATTCAGGACAGACCTTCAAAGGGACAGCTGACAATTGCTACCATTTAATCCTTTTGAGCTCACTGAAACAGACTCTGCCACTCCACACTTACATGCATGCACACTGATGACACTACTAATGCTCTTCTCCCACAGCTACCTCACCATCATTTACTTGTTGGGGCAAAGAAAGGCAGAGGCCCATTATTACCTGAAGCTGATTGTTTTAAGCGCTCTCTCTGCCACGGCTCTGGCCTTCTCAATCTCAGTAGCCTGGAGGTGGAAAGCCATGTACTGTAGCCAGAGAATGGAGCTGTTGGGACTGCTCAGCACCAGGCGGTCAAAGTCATCTGCTGACTGGGGCTGTCGACTGGGGTCCATCAGAGCTGCCTCTAATTTGCACAGCTCCTTCTCCTTCTTCTGCTTCTCTAGCTCCTTCTCCTTCTTTGTTTGTTTTTTCAGCTGAAAGAGCAAAAAAGGAGGACTGGAAAAAAGCAGGCACTACATGTGGGAACAGGCAGGCCTGCAGTTTTCACATGAAGAGATGAAGCCAATTGTTTAAGAGGAGGAAAATGGTACATGCACTCCAGCCCTTCACATCTCCAAGCAAAGCAACAGTACATGAAATCTCATTTTAATAAAATACATTGAGGAACCAATTTCTTTGCTAGTCTTGCACCCCAACAGCAGGATTCACACTCCACCCCTCATTCTTCCACCTTTACCCTCTTGGCCAGTGCTCACCACCACCATTCACTCTGTAAAAATCCGTAATACATGGGGAGAAATTGTGCTAGGCTGGGGGATGTTCCTGGATCACTAGAGTGGCTCAGGTCTAAACTGGGAACTGACAGTACCATAGCTCTCTGCACAAGGCAGCTACACCCTAGGCAGCAAAGCATCAGTAATGCACAGCTTTTGCAGAGGTGAGTTTTGAGGGACAGGGGAAATCCTGAAGAGCAAGCATGAAATCAATTCATGAGCTTGTTTCTGTTTTTGTTGAATTGCTCACATGGAAAAACTCTTCTAAAACAGTACAGCACAAATGAATTTTTTGGTGGTTTTCTAAATAAGAGGACTATAATTTGAAAAGATTTTTCATCTTCAGGTTTTCCTGTAAATTTACAACACTCAGAAAGGTAAAAAACCCAAAGCTGACATCAAATACAAAAATTTCACTTTCATTAAAATGTTTTTTTTTTTTGACCCTAAATAATTTTCTTTTCATGTCAACATGAGAAACCCTATTTTCATGCAGCTCTGCTAAAATAGGGGCTTTTGTCCTCTGCTTCAGAGATATTTGCTGCTAAGTTCAGTGCTTGGAGTAGTTCAGGAAATTCTGTATTAGCTGTCAGAGATGTTCCATTGGGTTAAAAGGCTTTGCTATGGGACAGAGATACGCAAATACCAAGACATCACATTACAGCCACCATGTGGTGGTTCCTGTGCAGACAACACTAGTACACAGTACCTTTGAGTGCAGATCCTCCTCCTCCTCGCTCTCTGAGCTCTCTTCCTTCTGATTCAGCACAGGTATATCCATGGCATTCATATCCTCATCCCAGGTGAACCCCACAGAAACCTGCAGCCTGGGAGCTTCACCAGGTTTTCTTATCTGTTTGGAGGAATACAGGGAATGCCCCAGTTTTTAATCTGAAGTTTTTACACTGCAACAGGACAACTGCTGTTTGCTTGTGGCTTCTCTCTGGCCAGTACTACTGACCTCACACTTGCAACAGCCCACCAGCAAAACATTAAACTCTGATCACCTTTGGTGTAATTTAAACTCAATCTATCTCAAGCCATTTTCAGATGACACAAATACCAGTCTGTGTGACTTCTGTCCACAGCAATGATACTTATTGTCATCCAATCAAAACTGACACACCTCAGCAGGCCTGGAAAGTCACTTCAGACTCAGGTTCTCCTCCAAACTTCTCACCTTAGACTTCTTTTTATCTGCCTCTTCCTCCTGGTCATCCTCCTCCTCCTCCCGGTAATATACCTCAATTCCACTGTCATTTTCATCTGTGGGGCAGATCTTCCTTTTTTTTGGCTTTGCCTCCTGCAGCAAGAGGGAAATGAATGGATGGTGGAGGGCAACAACTGGGATAAATCACAAAGGCAATTCTGATCATAAAGTTAAGAGTGACAGCAGAGAAAGTGATGCCCTGGGCACAGCACCTCCCAGTATCCTCTCACACAACAGAGACAACAGAGAATAAACCCATGCTCGCCTACATATGGTGTCAAGACCAACAGGACAGGTCCACAGGCAACATGATTTGGCTGCTAATTTAGTTAACTCCTACCCAAACTGAATGTTTTTTTTCTGATCTTCAATACAATTTAATCTTTTTTTTTCCTACTCTGTATAATACCTCAGCCTGTCCCCAGTGGATATTCTTAGTCCCTCCGGTATGTGAGCCAACCAAGTCCTTTGTCATGTCCTGTGCAATCACATACATACCTGCTCACTTTCAGAGCTTCTTATTCTCCGTTTTGTCTTCACCTTAAACTGTTCTCTCTTCTCCCTATCATCTGCCTGTCTTTTCTCTTCTTTTGCATCATATCGTGGTAGGCCCAGGGATTCAGGCAAGATGCTTGGCATCCCAGTGTCCTCAGGTAGGAGAGAAAGCTCAATATGTTTTTCTTTACCATTTACACTGTGGTGCCAGGAGTAGCAGGAGACAAGGGGAAAAAATAAATAAATATCAGAGCATTTACAATGACTACTATGAACTTCTTTCAAATCTTTCCAGCTTTTATCCTTCCTCTTTCCATTATCTCCTCCTCCAGCACCTCCTTTCTACTAATTCACAGCCCCTTTTAAAGAATGTTGGACCTACCCAAGCACCTTGGCAGTGAGCAGCTTTCCTTCAGGCAGGTATTTTTCATATAAGGAGTGTTTCTGTACAAAGTAAGGGGAGACATTCTGGAACAGTATTCGGCCCAGAAGAGAAGGTGACAAGCTGAGAAGAGGAATAAAACCAAAAATAAGTATTCCACAGTGGGAGAAAAGCAAAAGCACAGTGACGATATCTGTGGCGCCACCAGTTCTATATAGCAACACACAAACTTCCCCTATTTTAATTTCATAAGCTCAAGAAAGTAACAATGACATCTTGATTCCTAGGAGCAAATTCATTTTGCAACACCACACTAGGCCAGAGACCACCCCCAAACAAGATTCCAGAATCATCCATTCAAAGTAAGTTCTCTGAGACCCCTTATTTATCAGATTAATTTCCTAATGCTACTCACCCAAAGAATACACCTGATGAAGTGACTGATTTGACATAGCCTCTCACTAGCTGGCCTTTTTTAACATCCTTAATACATGTTATTTCAACATCCTCCACTTTGCTTTTGCTTTTTGGGTTTAGCCTAAAAGAAAAAAGAGTTTATAAATTAAAGCACCTAACGGAATAATCCACGTCCTGCTCTGAATATCAAAAAAAAAGAAATCAGTATTAACAACAGCTTGTACTTTCTGGAAAATGTACCAGATCAGAGACACCCTTCAGTTTATTCAAATGTACTGATGGACTATCTGCATCTCTGCCAAACTATACATAACATTAGGAAACAGACATGCTGCTGTAAACAAAGCCAAACAAAACAGATCAGCCTGGCTTCCTCTGCCACTAAGAAGGAGAGTAAAATCCTACATGAAATTCCGTACAGCACTAGCTTGGTTTTTTTTCCCCACTTATTTCTAAGGTAGGTCATTCCGCATGCTTTATGCATTTTTGTTCCTTAGAGAAGACAAAGCAAGAGGCTCAGTTTTAAGAGATAATTTAGGACCACATCTGATATTTAATCAAAATGGTTAAAATGCAGATGAACACTGAAATGTAACATGTTTGTACTGCAAATTCAATAGTGGAACTTTCCCTTTCTTCCCAAATAAATATACAAAAGAAGTTAAGTCAGGTCTAGAAACTACAATAAACAGGAAGATCAGCTCTACATTAAGGATCAATCATCCCCATGCCAATACACAGAAAAATCTTTCTGAAGTAGGAATAAGTCTCATCCCTAAAAAAGAAAAAAATAAAACCCTCTAAACCTTGTCCTTTTAATACTTCACACTGGTCCATCTAAATCAACAGTTACTGTATTTTACAATCCTTTTCTTCACCAGGAGATCAACAGACTGATGACACATACCGGGATTGGCGGAGAGATAACTGGATTTTGCCGTTCTCATTGGAGATGATGTAACACCTGCATGGCAGAGTAAGGAGAGGAAACAGAAAACCTGTTAAAAAAAGACACAGGTAAAATAATAGGTATTCTCACCAGCAGAATGATGCTCCAGAGGTAAGAAACGACTCTGTCCCTCGGAGCACCTGCTGTTTAACACAAGCTAACAGGACACAACTGTTCATGAAATCAGCTAAAGGGCTTTTTGAAACGTATCTACTTGCTTTACTCAGTCTCTATTGCTAGTACGGAAGAGTTGAAGATTGTTACAGCTGAATCACTTGGTCTGTGGCACTCTCCAGCATTCCCAACCAGTCTGTGAAGTAGGGAAATGAAATTACTTGTGCATTGCAAATGTAAAGACAGCTGACTTGCCAAACAGCTCACAGAACCACAGCAGAGCTCAGATAACTGGCTTCCCTCAGTCCCACCAGCAACTTAGTTGCTGCTCAAAACACAGTCCAAGAAGGGAGCTGAAAAGAGGCTTGGTCATATATAAAAAAGGTAAGGTTTTCACCCAAACACATATAAGGTCTTAAGTCAGCATTACTTTTAGCTACAGACTGAACCTTACAGCTCTGTCATCATCTTATGACAGCAAAAAGCCTGTAATCAAAGGGGGACATTTCTAAGCCCTGCAGCTTGAGGGAACAGGAGAACTACTGACCTGACAATCTTGCCAGCTTTGAAGTCACCCAGAGGGTCCTCCGTGTACGTATCACTCAGGTGAAAGATGCCGACTTTGCCTCTCTTCCCACCTGGCAGCGTAATGGTCAAACCGATGTGTGGAGTCACCTTTGTTACCATGCCCACAGTGATGGTGCCCTGCTCCAGTGACTGAATTCCTGGAAAAAGTGAAGGAGGAATAGAGCTTCACAGATGTCAAAAGTATGCAACCAAAGCAACAGGGGGAATGAGTCAGTGAAGCTGGTTTTAGTTGCTTAGTCACATATCAAACCCACCAACTTTTGGTAAGGTGCAGCCTATTCATTCTCAGTTCACAGCAACATCTGCCTTGGCAGCCCAGACAAGGTCCCTTAGTTGCACAGTTCCAGATCCAGAATAACTGACAAATGATAACAAATGTACCATCTCATGTCTGAGATCAGAAGAGAATATGTTCATAAGGGCTCAAAGAGGGGCTTCATGCTGAGATAGTAGTAAAGTGATTCTTTAACCTACAGGTCTGACCACTCTTGCCTTGCATGCTGCTACATCTGCGTCAGAGTCACGGGGGTTATTTCTGTCCTACAGGGAGGTACAGCTTGGCTCTGGAGTATAACATTTTCACTTGAGGGGTCAGTGCACATCGACCTCTGAGTAAAACATAGGCAGTGGGGTTCTGCTGTGAAGTCGCCACTATACCTGTGAGTGACAAGCAGAGGTTTGTTTCGGTGACACCTGTTCCAATCACTGTAGCCGATATTGCCTGGCCATTTTTGAAGCTCTTTTCTGGATGTTTCAAGACCTGAAAGGACAGATTTCCACTTATTGTTAGAAAAAGAGCTCTGAGCAACTCTGGTGTTTCTTCTATGAAGCTTTAAAATTTCTAGGCACATCTTTGATGTATATACTTGACAGCATTGCTTCAATGGCTTTGCTGACCTGAGCCAAACCAGCTACAGGCATAGTAATCGCTTGTCAGAGAGGTGCAGTGATGCCTATAACAGAGTACTGGGTTATAAGTTGACATGAATGTCAGAAGCATCTGCAGTCACTACTTGCAGCCATGTGCATGGAAAAAATTACATTTCATTTTATCTGTAATGGCCTCTTACCTTGGTGTTCAGAGACAGCAGCAGATGAGGAACTCTTCCTCGAATGTCAGGGGCAACTTCTACCTCCAGCCAATTCTTAAGGATGTTATACTGAGAAGATGGCACATAACCAGAGAAAACAACATGAGACCTTGGGAAAAAAGTCCTTCCCTAGGGGGTTTGTTAATTTAAGGCTAGAAAGAACTACTTCAGCCTTAGCTCTTGCACCAAGCAAAAACAGTGATTTGGGTTCTACTCTTAAAAGCATAACACTGCTGTGATTCAGACAAGTCCTCACAGGGGATCAGCAGTAAGAGTATTTTGTGCTGGTGGAATATGCAATTTCTCAAAGCCCCCTTTGCTAGAGCCCAGAATGGAAAGCATCTGCTGGCAACACATAGGCATGTCAAAGAGGATGTGTCAGCTTGACTATGTTAAGCATAGAAAATGTGACTTCCTTCTCCCTTTAAGATGTTACACTTTGCATGGGCTACACTTAAAGTTAATGAAGACCCCAGCAATGTCAGTGTTTAGGTTTGAACTAAGACCCCTTGAGGTCACCCCCACTTGCTGCCTCCTCAACACACTTCTTACAAAGACTCTGACCTCACCTTTTTCACAAAACAGGTGATTGTCTGTCCAACACTGTATAGTTCAAGTTTCTTGGTGGCACTGTCTTCTTTACGGCTCAGCACTGCTGTGACTTCCCCTTCTATTTCACTGTTTGCAAACAAAGAAAGAGGCTATCAGTAAGACAGCTTTGGTCCTAATGATGATGAAGATAGGAGTTAGAAACCCAGGGGATTATGGTGACAATGCCATTGTGACTTTCATTCCCATCCCCTCCCCAGCTGCACCCTTCTACAGGAAATTAATTCTTCCCTGGACTTGAGGGAATCATTCTGACATGAACAGATATGCCAGACTCTAGACTGGCAGAACCTGAAGCCAAAAGGACATTTAAAGGAAGTCAGGTGCTAAGAAAGTTCTGTGAGGTTTAATACAGCTCACAGGCTCAAGTTATTGTGAGAGTAGGAGGACTTGCCACACTGCATTCACGTGAAGGTATTTGCTCACAGCCAGCTCCTTCACAGATGGGAGGAGCAAGGGAGTAAACCCATAAGGATATAAGGTCTGTGAAGCACCTACAGACAGCACAGAGACTGATACTTACCTTGGTCGAATGCTGAGCTCTGGAATGGACCGTGTGAAGTGTGGATGGGTGATAGGCAGGTACCTAAAGAACAGGAAAAAGAAATTTTCTCATGATCTCCCCAGGCCCCAGTCACTCACTTGTAATCCCTCCACACTGGCAAAAGAAACCAGGTGTAAGCCCCCTAAAGTTACCAAAGCCTTCCTTCCAGTTTTTCCCAGTACTATTTCACTGGCAATTTAGGTACCCAAAATACTCCAGCAAATTTAGCCCCTGTAGCCAAATCCTGCTTATATTTAAGGCTTCCACTGGACCTTCGGAGTTTAGACATCTTTTTTTCTTACAATCTATACTCAAGATAAATACATTGACACAGGCAGAGAGCTAGTTCACTAAAACCTGGACTTGGGATAGAATACAATAGATTTCCTCAGGGTACAACTACTCCAGCAAAGGTAGCGGTTAACAGCATCTGCTGACAGAGGGAACAGCCTAGAACATCTGAGTATCTGTTTTACCCTTCTCATTCTCCGAGAAGTAATATTATGTGCGTGTTTTCCCACCTGTGAGTATTCACATCTCTGCCTCCAACGACTCGAGCAGTCACCTTCTGTCCAGCTTTCAGAGTAAACGTTGGAAAAGAGCCTATGGGAACTTCATCCAGAATCCGGGATGCATGGATTGAACCTGTCAGCTTGTCATCAATAGCAACTGTGACATGGGTTGGTTTGACAGATTTAACAGTACCAGTAACAACGTCCCCCAGGGAAAGCGAGTGTTTCACAGCAGCAAGCACCTCTTCTAATGCTGTCTCAGATTCATTCCGGACCCTTACAAAAACATTATTCTTTGCTGAGCCTTGTACTGCTAATAGGAGTCCGTGGTCATTCTCCTTCACTGCTTTTAAGGTTGCAGAGATCGTTTGTCCCACCTTCAGTTTTTCTGAGTCAAAGCGGAAGGTATCATTGAAGTGAGATGCTATGGGGATAGCTGCCAGCTGACCTGTTTCCAAAGACACAACGGCAAACTCTTCTGCTATGTGCTGCACGATGGCATAGTGCTGGGAGTTCTCCGTGAGCCGCTAGACAGAAATGGAGATAGTGACTTCTCCTGCTGAGACTCTGACTCCCTCCACACTACCTCCCAGTTCTCAAAGAGAAAACAGCCCCCCCACAAAATGCATTAATCGCCTAAAGTTTGCTAGATGAACAGAAACACACAAATCCAAAAACCGAACACATACTTGCTTGGCTCTTCGTTTTAACAGTTCTTCCCGAAGAGAAACATAGACCTTGGATGAGAGGGCATCCACATGAAGAACCAGAGCCTTGGTTTTCTCACCAGGAATAATTTTTTTGTCTACAAATGAGAAAAAGGAGATTATCTCCTGATGATAGTAAAGAATTTTGAGCAACTGAGCTAGTAGCACATGACAGGAAGGGTTGCCTGTGCTCCAGTTTAACTCCTAAACAGCACAGTGATAAAAAGACTACTTAATTACTAACTGGAACTAAGTAACTGTAACAAAGTCAACTTGGTACCAAATGTATAATAAATCTCTTTCAGAAAAGAACAGATTCCTCCAACATTAATGGCAAGGAGCTAATAAAAGGGGATTTTTTTAATTTGGAAAGAGTCTGATCCTTTCATGGAAGAACTAAATTGATTTTATGAAGATGGAACTCTTCAATAATGCAGACAAGGCTGACTAAACACAAATTCAAGGTAATACAGGTTTTGAAAAATTATGCCAACACATGCACAAAAACATCATCACTTTAACTGCTGCTGGAAAACACAGAAGCGCTGGGATATTACTCCTGCTGAAGTTAGCAGTTTATATTAATCATCTCGGCATGTACTTGCTTGGTTCTACAGAATATGGCACTTTTCTGCTTTGATTTTTGAATTGCAAAGTACCAACACTGCAGACCTGTTTTAAAGTCCCATTGATTTAAAAGAAAAATTAACAGCAATTTCAGATAGAGAATTCTCTAAAGAATGTATTTCTAAAATAAATAAATGAGCACACTGAGAAAGCTGGAGCTTGTATTAGTACTTTGTCTATATGCAGTACAGTTCAACTAAGGATCTCAGAGCATAAACTACACCTTATAAGATACCCAAGATCTCAGGCAGGTTGAGGTCCAGTTTAGAGATGAGGCAGCAGAGGCACAGGCAGGTTTAAAAGTTATGTTCCAAATCATGCAAATGGATGAATAACACATTAGGAAACTACTCTTCAAGTCAATCCCTACTCTGATCAGACTCCTCCTATGTTAGTTCCTTGTCATCAGAATTCATTTCAGGACAGAGGTTTCAAAGTACAAGAGTGAAACCCAAAGCAATCAAAGACAAAACCCTGACCTCCCAAATGGTAGCGAGTGGCTGTTACAGTCAAGCCTGTAACACAGCTGCCACTGAACAGTGCTGAGCCATCCTCCTTCACATCCTGCACAACCAGCTGCAGCTCCTTCCCAGTCACCAACTCACAAAGGCCTTGAGTCATGCTGGACTCCCCTAAGTAAAAGGAAAAAAAAGTGGGAAGTCAGTTTTACTTGTGTCGTTTCTTTGCAAAACAAAGACAACCTTCACATCTGCTCAAGAGTGCACAAACATTTATATACACCTTCATAACAGAAAACAAAGTTCAGACTCCTGAATCTGTAGAAATACAAAGTCAACACTAAGAGTTAATCAAAGCAGAAACACTTTTGTGACATGAAGGATCTGGTAATTTTCAAAAGAATATTTTCCAGTCTTACAGAAACACTGGCACCTGGCATTGCATGCAGTAAAAGGTAAAAATAAAGGAGATTAATACTACCACAAAACAGACCTATTACTTCACAATTCTAAGAAACAAAACATTAAAGACAAAAATGTTTTGTAATATTTGTAACAAGATGTCACTATAGGTGAAACCTATAGAGTACTAAAAATTAATTACTGTCAGATTCAAATAGATAATCAGACAAACAGAGACAATGCTTCTTCCTGCGACACATAATTAAATGGTGAATTTACTGGCATTATGTCTCAGTTGATTAAATTTTAGATTGGTTCATAAAGGAATTACAAACATTCACACCAAAAAAGCAAGGCTGGAGTAAGGCTTTGGTCCACAGAATATCCAATCTCACCCTGGCACCTTCACAGCACTTCAAGGAATCCATCCTTTTGTACCATTGTTATCTCCCCTTCCTCTTTTGGTATATGGACCTCACAGTTTGTCTATTTTCCCCTTATTTTTAATTCTCTTAGACGCCTTGCAACCGTAAATGAAAAGAGCAGCTTCTTCAGCTTGTCCCAGCTGTAATTCCAAAAAGCCTTCTTGGCTTCACTAGCAAACACTGCAGACATGACCCTTCTCCAATAAACTCCTCTTGGAAGCCATGTCTTTGCTTGAACTGACTCTTTCACTTAAAAGAAAATGGTTTTCCCTCTTTGCTCCCCTGGAGCCCCTTCTTTGTGATATGATCTCCTTTAGCAGAATATGTGAAATCTTTTACCTCTTCTTCTCAACAAATTTCTGATTTCTTTCATCTCCTTGAAATATTGATTCAGTAGGGCAAAGCTCTCTGCAGCAGAATCGCCTGAGCTGCACTCTGACACCTTCAGATTGAGGAGCACACGCTGCTTCTCCTCATCAATGCTCATCACCTTCGCAATTACAGTCTGTCCCACCACAAAGTGGTCCTTGGTGTCCGTCACAAACTTGTCACTCATGCTCTGTGCAAAGAAAACAAAGGGGCATGGGTTACTGAGCACAGCTGCTAGCTATCACCTGCAGCACTTCTCACAACACGGGTTTATGTTAAGACTTCATGAAAATGCATAAGGAAATTCAACAGAGACTATCAAAAAAACATCAATTAAAATTAATTACTGAAGTCACATGAAATCCTTGCTGAAACTTAAGCACACCTGAATAGAAGTCCTTAGTTTTATTTGGAAGTGAATTCGAACACAAACTTAAAAGCAGCTTTTACCTACCTTACCAAGGGGAGCGGTGCAAACACAGGATCTGCAGCCCTGTTGTTTGCTCGTTATGGTACCTTTGCCAAAAGCCATGTTCCAGGCATAACTGATTAAATACAAGCTGTTTACTGAAGTGAGGGTACTGCTTACCACTTTGGGTGCCAGTCCTGTCACACCAAAAGGGAACTCCACAAACACTCCAAAAGGCATAACATTCCTCACATAACCAGTCAACAGCATCCCAGGCTGGATTTCAGAGAAACTTCTCACAACCTGCTCCTCCTGTACTGCAGAAATCACTGCAGACTTTCTGCTCAAGATCTGAACAACCAGTTAGGAAAAATGGGAAAAGATGAATGAAAGGAGCCTCATACCAAGCAAATCTCTTGGTGCTGCTAACCACTGAGCTAGAGTGCTTTTTGGATGTTAGACAATTCAGGAACTCAAAATCCTGCAATTCCAATTTCTGTCTTGATCTCTCTGCACTGAAGTTTAGCAACTGATGTCTCTTAAGCTGCTCAGCATTAAAGATGCATGTTTCACACTAGCAGAAATGTCAACTTCCTAAAATTTCAGTTCTGATTTTTAGTGTGAAAACAGCAAAATTTTTGCTCAGGCTGTGATATGATTAACAGACTAGAAGCTGGTTGGGAAGATCAGTCAATTCACAACCAAGTCCTGGTTCTGATGGGATTCTAGCAGCAGCTGAGCCACACTTCTAACACAAGCAAGTTATAATGACTGTTCGAAGCACTAATAGTTTGACAGGCATATCCGCTTCAGCACACTAACTAGTGTATCTTCTGTTTGTTGCAAATACTCAGGATTCCTGACATATACCTCCTCCCCACTTCTTTGCTTGACTGGTTGGGGTGGCAAAGGATACAATACGCTCTCCGTTGTCACTTAGGCACATAACTCTGGGCAGGACATCTCCCTCTTGAAGACAATGCCACAGGAGCTTGCAGGTAGCAACAAAGTCAGAGAGGTGCACTGTGGGAATTGAGGCTGTCACATTGCCTTCATCTTCCAAGACAGAAACCTCTAGCCCATTATCTTTCTTCTTCAAGACTTTTACATCAACCATCTGAAAAGAGGACAAATACAGTGATATAAAACTCCAAGTGTCGTTGAAGTTATCCCTTTCAGTGCACTGGGTACCAAATGCTGTGCTGCAGGGGCTCTGGCACTGCCTCCCAGCTATACATGAAAAAAATCTCACATCAACAGGGCTGTGCCTAAAAAGCACATCAACACTGTTAGTAAAATAAAAAAGCAACACTCAGCTACCAGAGAAATCTAGAGTTACAAACATTCTCTTGGTTTTTATTTGAAGGGTGAAGGGAATAATTTAAACAAGATTAGTACTGTCCTATTCCTGCATTAGCAATACCTGCAGGGTGCTGGAAACTGTGTTAATTCCAAAGACAACATGGAAGCATTTAAAAACATTTTTCTGAAGCTGTGTTTTTCCAGAGCAAAAGCAACTGGTTTTGGAGTGAGAGTATCAGCAGCATGCAGAAGAAAGAGGACTCCACCTAGGAAAAGGAGCACTAATTGGTACCTCCAGAAGGACTGCCCTGGGACTCCTTTATTCTGACCTTTGACAACAGAGGTTTTGATCCAGGAGACCAACCACACAATAAGAAATGCATATTTAACGCTAGCTCCTGACAAACAACAGATTTGCTTCAAAATTATACCAAATCACTTGGAAAACAGGTAGCAAAAGGTAAAAAAAGGAAGCTGTCATTGAATTCAATACCTCTCCTATTTGATATTTCACTTCCTGTTTCTTTGGAGTACATTCCTTTTTGTTGTCCAGGGCTGGTTTGCTTGATAACCTGAAGGACAACAAGAGTCTTTCCTGCTGGGGCTCACATTTTAAGACCATTACTTTAACAACCTGTAGCAACAAAAAAAAAAAAAAAACCCACAAAAGTTTAATTCACCTGATACTCCTCCTCAGTGTGCTACCAAAATGAGACTGGAAAACGCATACACAGTATACTTTTTCTTATTCCTAAGGGCAGCAGGCCAGTGGAGAGAATTTAACAAGTTCGATCAGATACAAATGTCTTTCTGATCACACAGATGGAAAATGAAAGTACACAATAATTAAATGACTTGTTAAAAGTATGCTGCAAGTCTGTAGCAGAGTTGAGAATAAAATTCAGATCTCCAGATTTACATTCAGAAATCTTGACTAGAAAATGACCCTTCTTTTAGACAGCCAAACGGTAGCATTGAAGACAAATAAAAGCACCAGAAAAAAAAAAAAAAAGAGAGGGCTGAGATCTGTATAAGCTTGTGCACAACAAAGAACAGAACTTGGTGAGCAACAAGGTTCCCAGAGCATCTGGTTTAAGATGTGTAAGATTTGAAACAAACAGGAAAATTAGAACAATGCAGAGGCAGAAAATCTCATCTTTCTGATTCTATGGGTAAGAGTTCCAAATTTCTCAGAAGAAACTGTAGCCTAGACCCTGTATCACATACCATGGTGCTTCCCGCACACCATAGCAGGCAGCCTAGAAACAAAGACAGGTCTGTGAAACACTCAAAGAGCTGCCTCTTTCACAGCCTAATGTTCTTAAACGGGGTACGATTATTACTTAGAGTGAAAGAACATAAACATCTCTTGGTGTAGCTGGTTTCTCAAGGGAAAAACCCATGTTGGAGCCAACTCAACTGCAGATTTCTCTTTTGCATTCAAACACAATGCATGGCATCAGTACAGTAATTACCTGTCCTTCATGGAAGACTTTATCGGGACAAGATATGGGTTCTGAGCTCAGCTCATTCTTGGGTACCAGACCTTTGACATCATTGTAGAACTTCACAATGCAGCCAAATTCCCTTGCACACACCACAAAGCCATGTGTGATCAGACCTGGTTTTGCATCTTCATAATTGGAGAGGACTGGAAGTTTCGATTGAACAAGATTTTTCTTTAAAGTAAGGATCAGCTTCTTTCCTGCAGGATTGCACTCCAGCACCTGCAAGAATGGAGTACGAGAAGGTTCAAAAAGTTTGTCTGCCATTGCCTGACCAGTTCAGCCACGAAGTACTCAAAACAAAAGCTGAAGACCCTGTCTGGCAGCTCTCACCCGACACCTGACTTGATCCCCTATGTTATACTTCTTTTCAGGCTGTTTGAGGATCACATCAGCAAGATGCATAGATGGCACAAGCCCTTTAATCGCATCAGTCACTTTCACCTGCATCCCAATAGGTTTCAGAGCAAACACTTTACCCTAGAACAGAAAACAGGAAAAAGAATCAGTAGATATAACATGAAAAGCTGACCATGCATGGGTAGCAAACGGTCAAGACACTGCATTACCTATTATCACCAAATCTTATTGCCCTTTGAAAAATAAAATCTTAGTCCAACCCATACTCCACCCAACCAATTTGACCCATTAACTTTTAACCATTCCATAAGGTCGTTTTACAGCCTCTTTTCATTAAGCATAGGCTACTGCTGCAAAATCCCTATTGACTCTGGGAAACTAGAATTGTTTCCAGAGACAAATGCAATACAGTCATGACTCAGGCGTAAGAATGATAACTGAGTTACTTTCTGCCCAACAGCTAACTGCAATGGCCCACATATGAACTTTTTTACTTTGAGTGCAAGGTGAGTTTTAGTTTCTTTCTCTCAAGTCTTTCTAAAAATGTATTCATGGTCATAAATGACTGACCATGGCTAAAATTTTATTCCCTTGGCAGCATCATGAATAAAAAGCTGGACAAAATGGGGAATGAAGAGTATTGCATTCCATTAGAGTCCTGCAAGAATTGAGTCCTCCTCAATTTCATCTCTCTAGTCTGGATCAAAAGTTGAACACACATATTAGGCAGAGGAAATGCACATTAGCTATATCATTGTTCTAAGAATAATGACCACACAGTACTGTTTAAGTCCTTCAAAAACTTACCTGCACCACATCCCCTGTGTGGATATCTTGGTATTGCAGAAACCGGGCTTCAATAATCTGACTAGGAAAGAGACACAGCAAGAGATGACCAGTCAACTTGAAGAAAGTCCAGGACAGCACAGTCCCTTACTTGCCTTGTTCAAAATGTTCATTATCCCAACACACACACACCCCCACCCACACTCCACAACTCCAGAGTTCTATGTTTTACTCTAACTGACCCACCTCCCAAAACAACTCTCTGGATATAAAGTTCAAGGAGGTTCACCAGGCTCCATTCCAGGTGACAGCCACACAGTTATGGCCACCAGCCACGGCTCTATGAAAGCAAAGCCAATTACCCACACTGCTTAAAGCCACAGAGATGGAATACTGAGAGGGAAGAGAAAATTGGGCTGGGACTTGGAAGATCAAGGTTCAATTTCCTGTCAGCTACAGTCTTCTGACATGATCTCAACAGAAGTAATTTAGCCTCCCTGTGCCTCAGCTCACCGAGTTACAAACACCATTGCAGCAAAGCAATGTTGCACTCTCAACCACCCATTTCTAATACTTCAACCAATATTCTGGAAGAATCTATGAAACTTACTACTTCAGAGATACAATACACATCTCATCCATCAGGCTGTAGTCAATGATTCGACATTTATGTTTGCATCCTGCTTTAAATGCTCCAGGTTTAAATGATTTTCTGGTTTTTGAAAGATGTTTCAACTAGAAAAAACAAATTACAACTTAGTGTTTAGAAAAGCACTGATAGAGCCCTTAGGTTGAAGTGGTAGCATCTAACAAAACTGATCCTCTACATACTCTCTGTATGAAGCAGGTTTCACCATTTCTTCCACAACCCTCCTACATTTCAACCTGAACAAGGGGAGGTATGATTTGGCAAATACCTTCCACATTGTCTTAATTTTGTTACATTTGTCTCCTCCTAGCCTCCCTCCCCAGTAGGCCAAGATAGCTATGGAGGACTTGCCTCACTACCCTGGCACTTACCCGTGCAAATGCAAGAGTGCCATCATCAAGCTCAAAGACGGCACCAAACTGCTTGTAGAAAGCTTTCACTGTTGACTCCTCCACCACTGCCCCTATGCGATCATTGGAGACCTGGTCTGGGGATCCCCCAGGGTGGAGGAAGGCCTGCCGCAGAGTGAGCCGCACCACCTTGGATGTGGGGTTGATAGAGATGATGCAAGCTTTCACCTGGGAGAAGAAAATACTGTGTTTGTTAAACAGAAGCTTGTAAACAAAAGAGCAGAAAGGCATACTGCTCATGTTTTTAGACATTATGCTTGGTACCTGAACTCTCTGTCCATGTACAAATACTTTCCAGTATTTACTACTATGACATCACTTCCATTTTAACAGCTTCACAGATGAGGGAGTTCTGCTTTTGTCTGTTTTTACAGACTGGTCTGGTACCAGTGAAGTGAGGGGAACGTGACCGCAATAAGTAATGTTTCTATCACTTGCAAGTCTCTCATGCTTCCCAAGTCAGTATTCCATTAACCCAGGAATTACTTTGCTCATTACAACTCTAAAGCAGCCATGATAATTCAAATAAAGGATGAGAAAGGCAGCTATCATCAGCAAGATTTCAGAGGTTATTCCACAGAAATTTTGGAGAAGATAAGAGATGTTGTAAGCAATATACCAACTCCAGCCATCCTTCACCCTCCTTACCACTTGATTTGGAGAATAGCTCGTGGATTTCTCTGGGTCCATGTGCATGAAATCCACAATGCCAGTGAAGAAAGACAGAAAGCTCAGCTTGATCCCAAGGGGGGCCACCTAGGAAGGGGAAGGAAAAAATGCCAAAATAAGATTTTCACTCCATTTTCATGCAGTTCAGAGAGCAATTCACAAGTTTCACAGAAAGGCACTGCCAGTGCCAATCAACAAGCACAACACAAGAGACCAGAAAACCTCTAATGATTCTGCTTTCTACATTGTTTTGCAAAAACAACCCTTGAGATTTTTAATAATGTTGTGTACACTCTGAAGACCACTGCTAATCTGTTTAATACTTTACCTAGGTAAATGCCAGAGAAACACAAAATGGATCCTGTGCTGATTCAAGCTTCATCACCAACTTCAGGCTGAAGCCTTTATACTCATGGCATCACAACCAGGACTGAGATCACACCTTAGATAAATGATGTGGAGCAAGTGTCTAGTAGTTAATACTGTTTGCTACTGTAAGGTAATTAAGCCCAAGTACAAAACTTTCCAGAACATAAAATTCCATCTCTATTTCAGCTGTCTCTCTGTCTTAGCAAGGCTCAAACACACCACATTCCCAAATCAAATCCCAACCAGAGCTTACCTTCTGCACTCGAGCTTTCACCACCAGCCCTGGCAATAAGTTTGAGAGTGACCAGTTGTGTCTCTCTGTTGCAAGGGATGAAGCAACCTCTGATCGGTCAATGGACAAAAGGACCACTCTTCCCTCGTTCTTTACTTCCACAACAACACAGTTCAGATTCTGGCCTATTTTCAAGTCAGACCCTACAAGGACAAGCCACAGCATAAAACCTCCACCAGGAACATTCAAAGATTCCCTTCCACTCTTCCCAAATCTTTTTCAGAGTTCCCTCTATTGAGGGAACTATGAGAAGTCCTCTCAATTTAAGTGAAGTCTACTGCCATCAGGGATGGACTTGGAACAGTAACATAATCTATCAGAAAACAGGCTGAAACCCAGCAGTTTGCTGCAGACCATCCACAAAACTGTTTTCAGCAACTTGCAATGATTCCACATTGACCCAATCTCACTGAGGTGCACTAAACCCACAGATAAAATAGGCTTTAATCAGTCATTCTCCACCTCCCTTTTAACTCCTGCACTACTTCTTACCTCTCTTGACTGTTTTGATGTAATTTTGGGCTTTCTGACGAGGCAGGAAAGCATTAGTCCCACTGACTCCAATATCAATGAGGTAGCCATGGTCTTCCACACTAGACACGAAGCCAGAGAGCAGCTGATGGGAGAGAAGCACTGCAATTCAGTAATGTGATAAAACACCTGGGTCTTCAGAGAATGCACATCTGCTAAGGTATTTCCCACCCAAGCACTCACTTGTTTCATAGGACAGAGAACTGATGTTTCCAGAGCAGCAGAAAGAACACAGTATTATTTCTTACTATACAGCTCATACGGCAGTGAGGTCTCAGCTCTACCCTTACGGGACTATGGATGGATGGATTTCATAAACCAGAAGGGGAAAAAATTTGGATGCTCAAAACCAAAAGTAATGAAGAAATCTACCCAGAAAGAAATCATTAAATAACTTGTCCATATCAAAGCAGAATCAGGCAAATGGGTTTCATGAGAGACAACCTGGTGCCAAAACCCAGTACTATCCTCTCCTCCCAGGTCTCCTATGGTGGGAGAAGCTCCACATTCTGCTCTGATCTCATGCAAGGACAAACTGAAATGTTCCCCCATGCATTATGCAAGAGGCACCCAACCTAGAGAGGCTGTGACAGACCCAGAGCACGTACCATGCCTGATGCTAGTGCTGAAGCATTCAGTCCCTTATTGACCTTCTTGGGGTCAATTGATAATTTGACACTCCGACGTCCATCAGCACTCTTCTCAATAGCGGTCACAATACACCTGACCAGTGTCCCTGGAGAATACAAGTCCACGAGCGAATTCAAGTCCTGCCCGGGAAGATGATCAAGAGAAAAACATAAAAAAATTATTATTTTACATAATATAGATAGGTGTTGTGACTTAACCCCAACCAGCAACTAAGTACCACGCAGCCCATCACTCACTTCCCCACCCCACCATGCACCCGGTGGGACAGGGAGGAAAATCAGAAACAGATAAAACCCATGGGTTGAGATAACAATACTTTGATAGTTAATATCAGGATATTATAAAATAATAATATATATTATCGCTATAAGTTGTTATCAATAAAAGTAAAAAGAGAGACATGAACTCCAACAACTGATGAACATTACAACTGCTTGCCACTCCACTGAACAATTACTTTCTTTCTAGCAAACAGCACCATCAGGTAATTGCAAATTTGCTTGGAAAAGCCAGTTCCAAGTCAAGGTCCGTCTATATCAGCACTACGCAGAAGCATGTTGCATTCATCAACACACAGTTAAACTGCAAGCACTGTACTACTTGCCATGCCTCTCAGAAACACTTGCACCCTCACATCATTTTCCAACCACTTCCCTAACTTCTTTCCATCACTGCCTACAGCCAGGGATCAGTATTTAGCTTCAGCAGCAGATAGGCAAAACCAATCTCTTCACGTTCAACAGACTGTCTATAAAGTTCAAGGATTATTTAGCCACAGCTAAGGCACTGTAGACAGTCAAATTCAAGTCAGCAGCAAGACACCATAAACCAGGATCCTAAGCAAGACTTCAGGGTTGGTTCTGAGGTACTATTAACAATCCCTAGCTCACAGACACAGACACAGTCCAAGGTCTTACCTCCAGAAGTTCTCCTTGGGCCACCTGCTTGCTCAGCAATTTGTTGTAGGCATCACTGATCTGTGTGACCGGCACAAATCCTGAAAGTCCATTGGGCAAACTTACAACTAGCTCGTAGTCACTGACCTCTTTTATACAGCCAAGGAGCAGCATCCCCTCACAGAGTGCCTGGGAAAGGAGGAAGAATAGCATACTGTGGTTATCAGGATGGTAAAGACATTTCTGTCCTTACCTCAGCGAGGAAGAACATGCCATTTTTACATAGCCCAGAAGAGAGATGTGTACAAAAACATTTTACCACAAACCTCAATCATCAATGGCTCAATAGTCACAAAACTTTCTTTAGCAGCAGCTATGTTGTCTGCCTTGAACTTTTTTTTCTTTCCTTGATCCTTTTGGCTCCTTTTTCTTTTCTGGGACTTTTCTTCATGGCGAACCTAAGCAGATTATAAACAGAGAGCGTAAAATATAAAAGTGGATAAAGAGATGAACTCTGCACTAAGGCAGAACTCCACTGCCAGGAATAAAAGTAGAAGCAAATACTAGGATTGGAGAGAAAAAGAGAACCACCCTGGTAACTGCTGCAGACCTACATGTAAGTCTTCCAAAATATCTCCTTTGGGCTGAAGCTTATCATTTATGAAACTGTGAATCTTGGGATGGAAGAGAGTGGCACAAGATCTGCACCACACAACTAACAGAAACAGAAAGACCAAACTTAGCCTATACCCATTAACACCAGCCTCACTACACAAGCACCTCGGGGGAAAAATGCTTACAGATAGTTTAGAAGCTAAAGCCTGCTCAGTAATTTTGATCTAACTTTGTCTGTTACCACATTTAATATGCATCAGACATTGGGGATCTTTAAGTGATCACGAGAAAGGCAGATGTCAGACATCTCTTCTTGCAAGTCCTTTCTATAGTTTGTTATAGAAGTGAGGGATAGGAAGGATTGCAGGTCATATTCTGAGAGTGGAAGAGCCCTGAGAAGAGTTAATCAAGAACACACAAATAACATACATCGAACAAATTGTCCCGCTCTAACTTTGTGTTGAGTGTTTTTCCCTCTGTGGGTTTTTTCTGGATGCCCCCTCGAGGAAAGTTTTCTTCCATGGATGCCATGCTTGCACTTCTGTAAGACAAATGATAAAACAGAAATTTGACATGCAGCTGTTAGGCTTGTTCCTCATAAACACTGAAGAGATACAAGAGTGAACTGCCCCCAAACTAAGAGAGAATTCAGATTACAGTTGGTCATTGACAGAACATAATCCCTGGATGTATTTAACATTTGATTACACTAATTATTGCAGTGGTCCATCTAAATTGATACATCCCTAACACTTTTTACTATTACCCAATTCTACAGGGTAATAAAGACTAAAGTATTATTTTTTTAAAGCATATAGATGCACCACATAGATATTCATTACACTGCTTGAACCATAATTTTCCTGAACAGTGGACAAGCCAAAATTACCAGCTTCAGTCATCAAGGAGAAAGTTATGAATGAAACTAAGCAAGCACGGTATGCAGTTTCACTTTTTGAATACCACCTGTAAAGGGTAAGCTATAAGATATATATATAGTTTTATATATATATATATATATATATATATATATATAAGAAAATCTATAGCATATATTTTATATGGAGAGAGCTATAGAGTAGCTCTATTACATACATATAACAGAATCACAGAATTGACTAGGTTGGAAAAAACCTTTAAGATCATCAAATCCAACCTTTACCCCTGGAATGCCTAGACTCCACCATGTCACTAAAACAGATGTTCACCCTTACTACACTTCCATGAATAAACAACACCTCACTCACTAGGTCAAGATCCACATGCTATGCATTACTTTAGTCAACAGCAACTCTGAAGAACCCTGCACTGAAACAGGACGTTGTCAGATTTAAAGCAGTCTCCCAGGCACAGAGACCTCATTTAAACGAGAAAGCACACGTAACACTGAAGCTCACGGAGGCACACTTCAGCAGAGGGCTCGCTAAGCCACAGAGACCCCTTCCGCCGCCGGTACCCGAGCCACGCCGCGCAGTGGGAGCGGGCAGGGCAGGGCTGGAGCTCTGCCCGCAGGGGCCTGGCCTCACCTCCGCGGCCGCCGCCGCTCCGTCCCCGCAGCGCCTCGCTGGCCGCCGCCGGCAGGCCGCGACTGAGAGCCACACGCGGCAGCACGGCCAGCCGCCGGAAGCAGTACCTAGGGCAGGAGGCAAAGGTCAGGCGGAAGCTGCGAACCACTCCTCAGCCAACCAGGAGGAGGGGGCGGAGACAACCCTCACACTGGGGAGAGGGCAGCCAATCAGCGCGGCTTGCGGTGGCTGCGCGCGGCGCTCTACGGCCGCCATTTTGTGGGAGGGCGCTGAGGAAGGGCAGAGCGGGGCGGCAGCGGTGGGACAGCGGCAGCGGCTGAGGTACGGCGAGGAGCCGTGGGGAGCGAGCCTGACTCCGCAGACACCTGCCCGTGCACCCCTCTTATAGGGCTGTGCCGCCGGGCGGGAGGGTGGCTCTCCGTGGCTGCGGGCTGCGCCCGTGCCCGTGCCCGTGCCCGTGCCCGTGCCCGTGCCCGTGCCCGTGCCCGTGCCCATGGGCCCCCACGGGCCCCCGCGACCTTCAGCCTCTGCGTCCCTTCCCCTGGCCTGAGGGAGCTGAGGGGAGGGAGCGCCCGGGTCGCGGCTGTCTGAGCCAGCGAGATGGGCCTGGCTGCTGTGCGGGGCTGCAGCGAGTGCGGCAGCCGGTGGCGCCCGGTGTCAGGGCAGCAAGGGGGAGCGGCCCGGGAATGGCAAGGGCACCGGCCTGTTCTGATAAAGAAAAGCTGTATAGTAGTGTTTGGGCTCTGAGCCGGCCTCGGAAAGACGCAGTGACTCCAGGGTTTTCTGTCGGTCAGGCGTAAGAAAAGGTGACCTTGACTTTCCAAGTCACATACGGCTAATACTTACGGAGTTTGTTTCATTGAGATTTTTAGCTGTTAGTCCACTTGCAGGCATGCTTACCTGATTATGCACCAGAGATACATTACTGGATTGGGTTTGCTTAAGAGCTATGTTAATTAGCATAGTACCTGCTGTAGCAATGTCTTGTGTCCCTCTTCTGCGATACCAGTGGCTAGAGCATCTGCCTGGTTTGATTGGCAACCATATGATATGTGTGCTTGTTTTGGGGTGCATTACAAAACAATATGTTTGTCCTAACCATCAATCCCTCTTAAACGTAAGAAAAATGTATCTTTAAACATTAAAAAGAAAATCACTTTTATTCTAAGTCTGACAAACACTGGAACAGTTTTCCCGGGGAGTTGTGAAGTCTCCATCTGTGAAGGTATTAAAGACCTGACTGGATGCGTTCCCCTGATTTGGGCAGGTTGGGGTTGGACTGTGCCATCTCTGCAGTGCCAACCTGAACCATTTGGTGAATCTGGAAGTACGCTACTGTAGCCACACCATGCTTTTATGTTACTGAACATCTTAGATGTGAAACTTTAGTCCAGACACAGACAAAATATAAGTGTGCCCTCATGTACTTAGTGTTTTTGTTGTCCTGTGAAAGCACTTCTGAGGCTGGCTCTAATAACTTGCTGATCTAGCTGAAAAATAACTGGAGAGGAAAAAAAAGTATATTTTTATCTAGATCTGTGAACACTAGGGTTAGAAAGTAAGATGCAATAGAGATATACAGCTGAGAGCAACAACATTACATTACCAACACTTGCACTTTAATATGGTATGGATGTTGTAAAGCATCATTTTGAATAACAAAACAGAGTAGTGGTCTACTCTGAATGTTGTCACTGAGTTTTTGAGTATCTCATTGAGCTGTTACTTAGCTGAACCAGTGAAGATTCATCTTAATTGGGTACTGCGGATTCATGAACAATTGGTAGAAACTTGCCTGTGATGAATGGTTGTGTTGGCAGGACTGGCAGGACTTTTCTTCACAAGTATTCTGAGGATTTTTCCCTTTTAGAGTCATCATCCTGATGTTTATTGGTTTTTATGCTTAAACCCATTTGAATGAACTCTGAAAATCATAAATGTTCTTCCTTTCAGAACCCCTCATTTATTTATCAGCTCTTCTGTAACCTGTTTTGTACCTTAAGATACAGTGCTCTGAAGGTGCCTGTTCCATGTGTGTATTCACTGTCTGTTGAATGTCCTGAAAGCAGATTTAATAGCTGACAGTGGCATTCCTAAATTCAGTGTCAAGGTTAGTTTGATTTTTCTGTTGATCCTGTCCAACTGACTTTCAGTTCATTAACTGTCCTGTATTGCTTGTTAGGACAAGCAGCCATGGCTGGCCATGACTCGGGATCTCAACACCAGTTCACTGGATTTGCGAAGTACTTCAATTCCTACACCATCACAGGCAGGAGGAATGTATGTGTTACGTATATTAACTGCTGTAGTCTAGGATGATGGTGTTTTCTGGATATTAGACTGAAACTAAACTTTTATCTTTTCCAGTATGTAATAGCAACATACACGGGCATTGCACTGATCGTCTTGTATTTCAAGCTTAGACCCAAAAACAAAACTCCTGCTGTGGCAGATAAGTAAATGGTAAGTGTGTTCCAGGACCAAAATGTTTCAGCACAAGGCCAAGAAGAAACAGTTACAAGGGACATGTTGCTAACAATCCAGTGTGGTTACAGAGAGAGAAACACAGGCATGGGAACTTTGTATTTATAATTTTAAACCTTAAGTAAACCATAGCATCAGTTTATTTGGGGCATTCTGAATTAAGTAGGTTGTTAAAGGGGGATGTAGTCAATATAGGGTACCAGTATTCTTTTTGTTTTGACATGGTGAATGGGACTACAGACCGCGTGCAGGGATGAAGGGTAATCAAGGAAGGAGGAATGGAAGGGTTTGCAGTTAGGCATATCAGGCTTTGCCTACAACTATTGGGTGCCTGTGGTCTGACCTTTTGCTGTAAAATAGGAATAACTGTAATAGGAAAAATGACTGCTACTGCTGAACCCAGGACACTGTTGCTTTGTATGTTATTGAAATAATAAAATAGGAGTTGAGGACTTGGTCGTATTAGAGAATTCCAAGCAGAGGTTAATGCAGTCTGTTAAACCTTTTGAACAGAATAGAGGAGCACCATGCAATGGAGCTATATATATTGCACACCTGACTGTGCAAGGCCTGTATAGAAGCGATTGCTCTTGTATAGCAACAACCAAGTGTTACAAAATTGTAGAGTTGCTTTCAAATACAAATTTCCACTGAAATGACATTTCGAAAAAAACTATGGGCTGTCCTCATAGTCTGCAAAAAGGGGTAGGAAACAAAAAGCTTGAGCATCATTGTGTGTTATAAAGGGACCTCGGTTGTTCCTGTGGATGCTGGAATTTGCCTGCTTGTAACTAAAATTGTTTGGGCTTGGGGAGAGGGGGGGCTCAGTTACTAGTACCACTGTGCAAGACTTGCTATGTTTGATCTCTCTTCTCTTGGCAGGTTGCTGGCATGTCTGAACCTCCAATCTGTATCAGTGTAATGCAAGCTGTTGTGGCTAATAAAATTGAAATGATTACTTGTTTTATTTGAAATATGAAATGGTGCAAAAAAAATGTGAACTTCTTGTTTTTCCTCTGTCAAAAAATGGCTATTTATAGCAGAGATGGAGTAACTGATCCTTGTAATTACAATCTTAACTAAACTCTTCTGTTGTTACAATACATCCTAAAGTGTTCTGAGCACCTGGAAATAACCTGGGAAAGACCATAATGCTGGCATAGAGCTTACAGTTGGTGAAAGCATCTCCACACTTCCATGTCTCAGTGGGTAATGGTGGGCTCACATGGTTTGCATTTACCTGTTTGCTCCTATTTTTTTGTACTCCAGGCTAGTAGCTTACATGGAAATCATGACTTCTTCACAATTATTAATGCAGTACAGATGACAACTTCTGTCTCAGTTGTCCATATTTTGCATAGGTCCTGTTTGGTTATCATGCAAAACCTCCCACATTAGACTGATAAATGATGGTATTTGATTTACTTGCCTTTTAGAGATAACTGCCAGAAAGAAAATGGCTTACTTTGATGATGTTAAGCTCTTGTAACCCTGCATGTTTGTAAACAGTCACTGAAGTAGTTCAGTTTTTCTTGGACATAGACTCTTAATAAACGGGGTGCTCCTACCACAGTTAAATATATGCAGTCCCCTCCCAGCCCAACACTAAAACTATTTGTTGCATTCTCCAGTGTCTTTCTGTAGCTCAGAACACAGAACCTGCCTTAGATGTCCCCTCAGTGCTGATGTATAAATGTGATTATAGTGCACCACATTTTTCAGATAGGAGCCAGCAGCAGGGTTGACACTGGGACTGCTGGTGCTAAAGAATGCAACTATACTCCCAAACTGAGGGCAGGAAGAGGTAGGCATGGTTGCTTGATAAAAAGGAGAGAGAAATTACAGGTCTCTGTGCTCTCTCACTCTAGTTTATGTATTTTTTTAAGCCATGTGTAGATTCTGGGCTTTCTGATTAAATGTAGTCATCTTCCTCTCCTGTGAGTTTTGTTTTAATAAATGGCCTTTGCTGTATGCAACCTTCCAGCTGAATACTGGTTGTTGTAACAATGTAATAGATCCAGTTAGCTACAACCTATCATCTACCCTCAGGTGATTTACCTGAAACACCTTGTCATCACCTGCTTCTGAATTACTTTGTTTCTCTTAGCAGAGTGCTCACAGATAAAAGCACTGCTCTTGCTTCCATTGCAGCCAAGAAGAAAATACTTTCTTGTAACATAAGAGACACAAACTGTGGTTTTAGTATTTATTATAGTATCAAAAGTATAAAACTGTACAAAATATAAAGGCAGAATATGGCAGTGTTGTTTTTAAGCTGTCAAAATTACATGCTTTGTTTTAGGTAACTTGATTCACCACAGTTGTACTTAAGTCCAACTGGTCGTATCGAGAGCTTGGAAATTTTGTGGGGTACCATTACACACACAAAAAAAGAGAGCATAATATTTTGATTTAACATCTTTTTCTTTTTAAAAAAACAAAACATTTCCAGGTGAGCTTCCTATTCAATTTTCCACCCTTTGCTTTGATGTGTAATGTATAATACACATTACAATACTCCAAGACTTGGAGTCAGAGAAAGGATGAAAAGGGAGGTAGTTCTCCACTTACTCTACCTAGGAAATGTCAAGTCTTGTTTTTATTTTCATTAGAGAGCCAGCAGGTTGTTCAAGTGGCACAGCCCTTACTGGAAAGTACTGAGGAACACAAAATGGGTTTCCCTCTATACAGGTTCTAAGAGAGATAAAAAACCCAACAAAACAAGCCTATAATCCCAGCAGACTATGGGCCTGTCTTTTGGTGGTGGTGGGTTTTGCTCAAAGACAAGAAGTATACTTCCCAATGTCTTGGATGTTTTAATCTTTCTTAGCAAAAAAGCACTGAGCTTTACTGGTTGTCCAGGAAGCCTTCCTGGGTTACAGTTTTTGTGGGTGGAAATTGTCACTGCAACAGATGAGCTGGCCTTTCAAAAAACAAACTGATAATACACTTCGGTCTGATTAATCCTTTTACTCTGCAATGTTTTGACTTCTTGGCTAGTTTTGCCTTTTGCAATATTAAACCTTAGGCAGAAATGATACAGGTTATTAAAGTTCTTTTAGATCCAATACAATGGAAAAGGGTTTAAGTCAACTTTTTGAATAATGGGTATTTCAGTTATGCCTCAGTCGTGTCCCCCCCTCCTTTTTCAGACAATAAAGTATGAAGGTAAATTAAGTTCACATTGCACTTCTGGTTGCTTGTCACACAGCACTGGCTACCTCTAAGAACAGAATAACAAAGTCTGTGTTTCTCGTAACTCAAAAGAGTACAGGAGTTTGAAATCCTCTCAGGACTTAGTACTCAGATGCACAAACCCCATATGCGTCATTTTACAGCAGTCCCCCACAGGACTCTGCCTGCAGGACCTACTCTTCCAATGCCCTGTTTGTTGCTAGGATACTCTCACCATACCTGCTGCCCAGCCCAGGCTCTAGCAAATTAAACTACATTCTTCGTTCCTGAAACTGAACAGTTTTCTCTTGTGTTTGAGATAGATTAAACATCTGCTAACCATAAATTAAGTGCTTTAAAAAAATCATTTGAGAACAGATAATAAGGCTGTTAAATTTCCCCAAGTTTCAGCAGAGCTCAATATCATCTCCAAGATGAGACAGCTATTTTCATATACATGTATATATATTTTTTTTTTCAAAAGCACCACAAACAATTCCTTCTTTTACAGCCACGATGTCTTGTCAATCTTCAGCATTTTCAAGGTGTAGATAAATATGAAACAGCAGAACTGAGAGATGCTGTTTGCATTAGTTCATATAGTTTTGTTCCTAGTGGAATTCACCTGTACAAGACATTCCTCCTTATCTCACATCCTGAGGTCATGAATGCAGTGACTTGGCACAGTCAGTCTTGCAGGTTTCAGATTCACTGTGAACTGTAGGCTCCTGCAGCCAGCAGCAAGTTTCTGCGTGTAAAATGGAGGTGTACAACCGGGGTTGATTTGGTCATGTATGTACCTAGTAACAAGTCCTGTGAGTTTTCAGGCAAGTTTATATGTCCAGTAGCTGTAGTAAAGTCATCGGTTTCTAAATCTTCAAATGCCTTCACAGCATCCCACAGGCGAACTGTGTTATCCATTGAACCTAAAAACAAAAATGAGCAATACTTTGAAGCCTATTGTCGTGGTTTAAACCCAGTCAGGTAATTCGTTCGCTCACTTCCCCCCCTTTCTTGCCCTCCCCCTGCTCTCAGAGGGACGGAGAGGAGAATCAAAAGAATGCAACTCCCACGGGTTGAGATAAGAACAGTTTAGTAACTAAGGTATAACACAAATCACTACTGCTACCACCAATGATAATAATGATAAAGGAAATAACAAGGGAACAGAATACAACACCTCACCACCCACTGACCGATAACTCGCCCCCCAAGCCCGACCAAGCTCCGACCGATACCTCCTCCAACCCTGCAGTCCCCCAGCCCTTCCGGCTAACTCCCAGTTACATCCTGGGCATGACGTGCTGTGGTATGGAATAGCTCTTTGGTCAGTTTGGGTCAGGTGTCCTGTCTCTGCTTCCTCCTGGCTTCCCCTCCTCCCTGGCAGAGCATGAGGCTCACAAAGTCCTTGGCCAAACCAAAACATCTCTATCAGCTCTGTTCCCGAGCCGAAAGTCAAAACACTGCACTGCACCAGCTACCAAGATATACAAAAAAAGTTAGTGGGGAGCAAGTTAACAAAAATTAAAGCTCAAAAAGCAGGTTTTCTCATAACTGTAGGCTTATGCCCTCATCCTGCAAGGAAACAGACTTTCACAAGCGTCTAACACATAAAAGTTACCAGGATTTCAGCTTTTCTGTAATCTCACCTGAGTGTCCTGGGGTTAAAGCACAAAGAACTTCTCTCTCAAAACACCTGGGTTTGGATTAGATAACCTAGCACTGAAAAAGCAGGACCCTCCTGTGTGCTAGATGCCAATTTCAGCAGATCTTTGATTCTAAGTCACATAATAACAGTTTGATATAGGGAAAACAGCAGAATTTTGCAGGGGCCATATTTCACAGTGCAGTGAAGAACTTGCCTTGTACCAGCAGTTTTAAGTTGCTGGTTTTGCTAAGCAAGTGATTCTACTTTGTCTTTCACAATTTAAGCAGCCAATTCTTCAGATGTATGGAACACAATGTATGGAACACAACAGAAACTTCACTGTTTCCAGTGAATTTTACCTGATGCTAAAATCTCTCCATCTCTACTGAATCTGAGGGCATAGACAGTGTCGGTGTGCCCTTTCAATTCTCCAACCATCAAGCCATGTCCAATATCCCACAGCAGAACTCTTCCATCTGTTGCTCCAGTAGCCAGGAATCGTCCATTAGGAGAAAATGCCAGTGAATGAATTGGTCCCTAAAACAGACATTTGAGAGGGAACAACAAGCAAGCCAATTAAATCTACCCACATTCAGTCAGTCAAGCCACAGGCATTCTGAACGCTACTCTTCAGAATCTTACCACAGAAATAAAACCACTTTCACACTGCAAGTGATAACACCCTTTACCTTATGTCCAGTGAATATTCTGACACAATTCCCACTCAAAACATCCCAGAGCCGTATAGTCCTGTCTGCTGAGCCTGTGGCAACATAATTGGAGTTTGGATGGAATCGGGTACACGTCACATCAGCAAGATGACCAGCAAATATTCGTAAAGGCTGGTAGTGATCTGTTGCCCACAGACTGAAAAGAAAAGCTTTTATTAGTAAGAACCCTCATGAAGTTCAGTATCTGCACCTCTTAGAGCGGGTCCAGAGGAGAGCCAGAAAAATCATCAGAGGGATGGAACATCTCTCCTTTGAAGACAGGCTGAGAGAGTTGGGATTGTTCAGCCTGGAGAAGAGAAGGCTCTGGGGAGACCTCATAGCAGCCTTTCAGTACTTAAAGGAGGCTTATAAAACTGATGGGGACAAACTTTTATCAGGGCCTGTTGCAATAAGACATGAAGTAATGGTTTTAAACTAAAAAAGACTTAGAATAGATATAAGGAGGAAATTTTTACAATGAGAGTGGTGAAACACTGGAACAGATCGCCCAGAGAAGTGGTAGATGACCCTTAAAACATTCAACAGGGCTCTGAGCAGCCTGGTCTAGTTGAAGATGGACCTGCCCATTGAAGGAGGTTGGACTAAAAGACCTTTACAGGTTCCTTCCAACCCAAAAAATTGAGGAATAAAAAGAAGTGGTTTCTTACTGTTCAGTTTATTGAATTAGCATGATCTGTTTTGGAAAAGTGTGCTTTTCCAAAGCATACTTCTCTAAAGGGAGAAATTAAGAATATTCTGTCAAGTTGTTAAACAAACCAGAAGAGAATACTTCTAATCAGATAGTAACACAAGAGAAATACCATCTCTTTAGTTGTCAGATAACCTGATGCATGTTGAAAAAAACAACCTACATTAAAAAATTTGTTCAGTATTTTAACTGACATGAAATAAAATGTATTTCCAGTATTAGGGACGGCTGGATTATATCAAGTAATCACTTTCAGGGTTAATTCGCCCCAAACCAACCCAGACAAGTAAAAACCCATCCATCTTCTTACCGAGCCACTCTGTCATGTCCCCCCGACACGAAGTAATAACCGTAAGGAGAGAATTGCGTATCCCATACTGGGTAGTTGTGTCCTTTATATCCCACCAAACATGTGAATGTTTGAAGACTCCATAATCTGACAGTGCCATCCTCAGAACAGGACAAGAGATAGTTCCTGTCACAGGAGAAAGTATAGCATATTACATATCAGACTTGCACACAGACTGTATAATCTTTGCAAGAATGTTGTGAGATGTCTATGTCCCCTGAGCAGCATCTGTTTAGCATATCACATATAAATCAGCATTTTGATGGGGTAAGCAACAGTAACTGATTCAAGCAGAATCCTGTCCTAGGTCCTTATGCAAAAAAGAGATACAATTGGATGTTGACCACTAATTTTGATTACACAGTAACGGTTATGGGCAAAAAAAACAAACCAAAAAACCCACACAAATAGGCAAACAAATAAAACCCCAGCACACAGAGCTGTTCTTTACTCAGGAATGCCAGGTATATGAAAAAAAATAACTAGTAAACTGCTATGCTATGTTACTGAAAAAAAAACTAAAATCTTTTAATGTCACTCCAAACAAAATTTCAGAAATCTCTCAAAGAAAATTCATATAATGCTCACATTCCCAATTCCAGATTCTATATTTACATTCCACACAAAGTTCACTTCTCAGCTGTGTTTCTGTGATGGGTGTTTCCTGACTAGACACATGCAAAAGCAAAAGTTTAGACATTTAAAACTTCCTTTCTACTGTCCAGACATTCATAATGACATAATAGTTTTAAATCTATTCTTTTAAAGATACCATTCAATAAATTTTGAAAATTATGTCTCAGTAGAATATGAGAAACTGGAAGAAGTGCAACGATGGTACTCAGTCTGGTTTTATGTTTTGCAATACTGTAAGTGAAATCACTGCTGTAGTTGCTCTTCTCTACAATTCAGTTAGTTCAAGCCCAACTTAAACAGTTTGCAAAAAAGATGGTCTATTTTGCCATCAAAGTCCTAAACCTCAAAAAAGGTGCTGGCACCCTCAGCTCCAGCTGATTTCAGCAATAGCTGACAGTGCCCAATACCTGAGCATAATGAACACTTACACTTAGAGTTTCTTACAAGCTGCATAAACAAGAATTGCTTTAACTATCTGGAGAAAGCCACATGAAGAACATGTTTGCATTCAGTATCATACAATTAAAACTCAAGATTAGCAAATTAATTAGCTCGTAAACTCCTTTTACCTATCAGGACTGAAGCTGGTGCCATAGACAGGTCCACTGTGACCATATAAAATCTTCAATTCACTTGCTGTTTTCTCATCCATGATCCTCTCCAAGACATCGTCTGATTCTTTGTCGATGAGACTAAGGTCTGCAATATAACAAAGTTCATGTATCATAGTAACTGTCAGGAGTTCAAAGATAAATGCCATGAACAGAAAACAAATAATATTCTCTCTAAAAGTACTTGGGAATTGGCAAGTTTGAAATATGCAATGGCACTTGGAAGATTTTTTACCATTGTAAAAGGTGAAAATTACATAATAATCACTCTTCCTTAAGTCTTAACTGAGCTAAAATAAATTAATCCTGACATGTTATTTTTCATAAATACATTGTTCAGCCTCCAAACACAATAACATCTTCTTTATAGAGATGCCAATTTTTCATGCCTTTCCCCAGGAAGTTAATATGCCACAGCATTCTTTACAGACATGTTTTGACAGCTGCACGCTACACACAAAGTAACTTTCAGTCTGTGAGGCTACTATTTCCTGAACATCATGACCACATCTCAGGTAAACATCTCAAGGTTAAGAAATGTCTGTGTGGTATCTAGCTTCAACCACAACATATTGTTACATAAACAGCAGAATTAAAGCAGCCTGAATTTGTGTAGGTTTTGAGCTACAGGACATTCTCCTCCATCCTTCTCAGAGTTCTCTCTTATAATTTCCTCCAGAGTACCTCTAGTCTCTCCCCTAGATCACCCTACTACACCCTGTAGTTATCATCCAGTTCAGAAGCAAGATGGCTGGTTCCAAACTGTATGCACTGACCACCTCACACCAGGTGTACACAACCAGACTTCACATTCCTTTACAAATGTTTCTAATGGTAGTATATAAGATGTGATCCAATATACCTGTGCACATACAGTTTCTTCAAAGTCAAAGCATCTAACTGCTGAAGACAACTCTCCTGACATAGATATCTTTCTCTGTTTGTGCAAAAAACAGCTGTCACAAGTAATGCGTTCTCATATTCAGTGTTATGGTCTGTCTTACCTGCTGCTGTTTTCACGCTACGTAGCTTTTTTGGAGTCACAGACCACACTCTGACAGTAGAATCAGCAAAGCCTCCTACAATCATGCTAGAGTCATCTGTAATATCCACTGCAGTCAGACCCTAAACACAAAATATCCATTTATATTGTTTGTATATTTCATGATGAATTTCAAATATTACAAAATCCTAAGTCCTAGTAAGAAAATTAACCTTACTTATTTACAAAAAATAAAAGGGGACTATTTTAGGATCGACATAAACATGTAAATTCTTGTGCCATTAAAAATAAAACTGAATGAAGCATGTATGAATGAAGCATATATGAACTGTACGAATGAAGCAGAGCTAACAGCAACAAAACAGTGCTATTATCCAGCATTCTGGTGCAAAACATCTTCTGCATGCTGCAGAATACACTCAGGGCCCACAGGAAAAACAAAAGCAGGTAAAATCAGAGCAAAACCAAGGAACATGGAAATTATATAGTTTAAGGAACCTCTAAAGAGACTTGTTAAAGTTTTGGAACATCAACTTTACAACACTTATTCCAAATACTCCAACAACCCTTGCCAAGGATGCCAAGTCTTCTTTCTTTGTTAAGAGTGGTATCTATAATTTTTATTCCCTTTTCCCAATTACCCAAACTCTTCTTTTACCAACCTGGTAAGCATTAAGGAATGTGTAGAAACAGATGGAGGGCAGACACTCTGGGCCAAGACGCACACGCCGTGCAGCTTCCTTCATGTTCATGACTTTATCTAGCTTGTCAGAGTCTTTCAGTTCAGGTAGAGGAATTCTACAAGCACACATTTTTACAAACTAAAAGCACCTTCCATATCATTAATCAAAACACAGAAAGCAAAACCCTTGCATGCAACCCTACACCTCAATATTCAAATACAAAACAAGAATTAGAATAAATGAAAGACCACGTAGATTAACTGATCAGAGAAAGAGCCGTTAGCTTTAAGACTTTCAAAAAGACAGTGGAACAAGATAAACAATTGAGTATGACCTGAAAAGATAAGTGGATAGCAGAGTAAAGTATTATCAAGGGAAATTCAGATTGCCTTGAAGAGTAAAGACAGAGGGTTATATGCTAAGCTTTCCATTACCTCCCTTAGAAGTCTTACAGCTAAAGCTGTGTAGGGCTGAAATGGCCAAATGCTAAAAATGTCATGTGAACAGCGATGTAGGTTTGGCATGACATGACTGGATTTAACAGGACTTCTCTACACATCATTCCCTTGGTACCTGTTTTGGGGAGGAGCATTAGGGTCCTGTTTTTTACTTTTTGACCCTACACTGTCTTTTTTTGGTTTTTTCTTCTTTGGCTTTCCCTCCTCATTTTCTCCTTCTTCATCTTCATCATCCAAAGGCACATCAAACTCTGGTTCCTTCAATAAGCCAAAGAAAACCTGGAAGCCAATAAAACATACGACACAAAACAGTAATTGATTTTCTTACTGAGAACTACTTTTTTTTTTTTAATGGAAAGTTTTCAATGTAATAGTCCAAGCACTTTAGAAGTGCTATGTTTAATATTAGTGTGTACATTACAGGTTAGTCCATAACAAATGTAGTACACATTCTGTTGTTTTACTCAGTGACTGATCTGGGTATCTGTAAATTCTCCCACCATCTCTTCACGCTTCCTTACAGCATAATCCCTAGTTTACATAATTTATGTATATAGTACTGTAGTACTATGCTCTCAAGATCTACACAAACATACCCTGTAGTAACAACCGACAGTAAGAATTACATCTGTTGTACAAGAGGAAGCCAAACAGTCAGGTATCCATTTTAAAACCACAGAGTAATTTATGAGTTAGTTCAAGTTTAGTTCAGTGGGCTGAATACAACATTGTCTCTCACAAGGGTTTAACAGTTTCTTCTAAGGTGACACATCTTGTTGATACTGCCAACAAGTATCTGTACAGTTCTCTTCCTTCCGTTCATGCTGTTTTTAAGATCTCAAATGACAGTTATCAGTCTGTACTATGGTAAAAACCAGGGAGAATTGTTCAATTATAAAAGTGCAACAATCTCTGCCTCCTACCTTTGCTTTATTAGCCTCTCGTTTTGCCTCCCCAGCCAAGCTTCCAACCATAGCATCTATCTGTTGTTTACTGCGAGGCATTCCATCAAAGATATCAATGTAAAGATGCTCCTGAACAATGTTCCAGATCTGATTGTTCTGCTTTTCCTGAAGATGCCTCTTCAAGAGTTGGTAAGAGTCACGGGAAATTCGCAGCACAAACTTGCTTGTTCGGAAATCCAGCATGGTCTCATTACCTTTCATATGTTCTTTTTTCGTTAAACTGGATAACACACGCAGGTCATCCTGGTAATAGCACTCCTGATCCCCATGAAATCTATAGAAACAATTTAAGATTTATTTCAGAAACATTATCTCCTAAGTGCACACTTCCTTAGATTACTTTAACATGAAACATGTATGTAAGGACCTTTTGGAAGGTACTGACTACAAGAGATTATTTTCTGCCAAAATAAATTGCATCCTGGGGAAGATAAACGAGTGATTTACTGTATACAGTAAGAGCATTTCAACAGTTAAAAAGCAAGATGAAGAAATCACACAAATGGAACCTTACAATTTCATATGTCCAAAGAGTTCTCACCTGAAGTAAACAGTTACACTGACATGTTTATTTAGAGAAATGAAACCTTAATTTGTGCCATCATAAAATACAGGTAACTTTTTATTATGCAAGACTACTTGAATGTATTTATATCTGATTCATTATATGAATATGCACATTTTACAGTGTATGTTTTTCTCACTCTCCACTTGTTATAGCTAACATATGCCTAGAGTTTTCCATTTTTACTCAAACCATGTTATAAAATAGTTGTGGCAATGAACATCTTAACTATTTACAGCACCATTTTTGCTGACCATATTGAAGAGAGACAAAGTTATCAATTCGGATTGAAATATTTCAGAATTGGTCTGAATCCAGACAACAAATTCCATTTTCTTCTCAAGTGATAAAGAAGTGAACCACAGTAAAAGCAAAAAAAAATTGTAGATTAGCCACAATTCCTTTAATCTCACTTGAAGAATTTTAATATACATGTTATGACATTAGCAATACGCATAGCGTACATTACTTTGGCATCTCAGTAAAATTTTCCAGTGCTAAAAAAATGATCCCATACTCTTTCCCTAAAGAAGTATCTCTTCATTGATACTTTTTGCAGCACAGAGCTCATCAGTTCACCATACAGATGGTTCAAAGTATGCCCATGTACAGTTCAAAAGCATGATCTTTCTGAGACAGAAGACTGGAAAAGGATTTAAGAACAGTTAGTATAATCCATGGTACTGTTACTTCAGATTACCTTTCAAAAAAAGATTTTGCTTCACTCTCATGCTGATTGTAGACCAATTCCAAGTACATGTGCACAAAGAGAGGATAAAACAGCTGAGACAATTCCGCTCGATGACAGTCCAGAGAACACTCAATGAAGTGTTTTAATCCACTGTAGTATTCCTCATACTGAGTCGGGTCTCCCTGTTGATTGTAGGCAGACAATACTGCACTCACATCTGGCTGATCTTCCACAACAACACTTCCTCCAACTGCAAAAGCATTAACATAAACAAGAGCTTGTAAAATAGCCTGAAAGAGCTAGCATGTATACAGTGGCTAACAACTCCACTTGTAAGCAGAGCAAAACATGACACTAAGTCTTGTGCTTGTTCAGCACTAAGTTTAAACAATACAAGTGAGAGGATGCTAGCACAGTCCAGCAGCCAAATCTCCCAGCACCTTCGTGCTCTCCCTGCCAACAGTTGCCTATAAGGTATTATAGTGTCTTACCCAATTAAAATCGTAAGCGTAAAGGAAGAAGCCACTAACACCACCAAAAAGGCTATAAAATCTGAAATGAGGAGTGGGATCTTTCTAAGGCTGTAAGATATACCCACTGTAACTATTCTGCTTCCAGTAAACAAGGAAATTAAGTTAATTGCGTGAATAATTCACCAAGCACACAACCATTATAGTACAGTGACTATCACTTGATAATGCTCCGAGAGCTCTGTTCTCCACAGAAGTCATTAAACATTTTCACTGTTTTGTCTTCTACACAAAAACAACCTTATCAGGTGATAGTAGGAACAAGCTGACTTTATAGGATACATTCACTGGAATTTGGACATAACAGTTTCTGAAATTTCATTATACTATTCTGTAAATGTGCCACACAGCATACCTTGATTAAAAATACTTAAGACTCCAACTATCCAAAAGACATCTCAAGTACCCACCGACTCAATCCAAAAATGTCTAAAGCCTCCTCTCCAAGTAGTCTATGACACTTTCTTCAAATCATATTCTGTACACCAGGTCTCTGTTCCCACCCCTGCAGCCACATTAGACCATCACATCTAAGTACATAGGAAACCTTCAGCTGCCTGCTGAAGATGGGATCCCCCCTCGATATAGGGCACAAAGACAAGGAGAAGCACCTCTCACTTTGGCAGTGCTCCTTGCAAATACGACAGATAACCCAGTCCTTGGTCCCTTGTTTCAGTGGGGCGTCCACAGAAGCCCCTGATCTCTTCCCGAGCCGTATGGGGAAATGATACACCCGGGGTCCCCCCAGAAAGCTGGGACAGTCTCGCTTCCCACCCAAGTGAAGGCCACCCGAAGGGAAGCACGACCTGACACTGACCCCCGTGCCCCAGCATCACGGCCAGCCTCCAAAGCTGCGAAAGACACAAAGGCCCCCGAGTCCCTGGAGGTCCGGCAGTGGGTGCGGCCCCCATACGCAGCAGCGACCCTACAGTGCCTTCAGGAGCCCCACCCACCTTTCCCTGGCGGAACGGCGGCAACCGTTGCCACCGCGGGGCTGGAGGACGCGACAGTGGCGACATTGCCTCCTGTCGCGGCAGCGGCGCTAACCCGGCTGAGCAGCGCCTCTCCGCCGATGGAATCCGCATCGCCACCCGGGACTCCCTGAAGCCCGGCGCCAGTGGGGCTGAGGACTGCGGAACCGAGGTCATCGCCGAGTAGGCGCGCTTCGCGGCGCAAGATCTCCTCGGACTCGCGGAGGTTGCTACGCCGCAGGAACTGCAGCACAGCCACGAGCGTCTGCCGGTCCAGTGTCGCCGGGGAGGCAGCCGGGCCCGGTGCGGCGGGCTTCGGGGGCGCCGCATCCCCACCGCTCCCCGCCGCCTCTCCTTCCGCCGCCGCGGCCGGGGGAGCGACGGGAACGGCGGCGGCGGCAACTGGAGGAGCACTGGGGGGTTGCGGCGGCGTCCCCGCCTCAGGATCCGGCTTTACCGCCGTCACCTCCGCCGGCTCCTCATGCAGGGCCGCCATCTTGCATCGCCCTCCATTCCCCAGTAATGGGCTGCCGCCGCCAGGCGCGGATGCTTTTGCGACAGTCAGGGCAAAGGATGAGTATTGCTGCCACTGCCTACCTAGGCGCTGGCGACTTCATTTTGCGACCTGCCAGGAGCGCTTTAGGGTAGCAGAGGTGGCGCGAATGCGGAGGAGTGTTTGAGAGGCGGCTGTTGCGCTGTAGGTGTTTTAGCACTAAGTAAGTGTTCCTTCGGATAGTGACTGTGCGGATGGGTACTGTGAAGTTCAGTGCCGCTCCTGGTGTACATACGCGGGAAACCGCGTTCAGAAATTGATTGTTTCGGCGTTAGTAGGCCACTTCTTAGAGTGAACAAAGGATGGCCTCTGGACTGTGTGCCCTTACTGGACTTACTCCGAATTAAACTGGTTACGGCTAGGTCAGTTGGTTTTTCAGGTATTTCTAATATTGCTGCTTCTTTCATTGGTAAATACAGATTTGTGATATTACAGAATAAAAACTTCCTTTTGAATGGAACTCGTATCTCATGATTGACGCACTTTTGTGATAAATTAAGCATTTGCCTGCGCTTCATTATTAGCCGAAGGAGCGTCGAGTGTAAAAACAAAAAGACTGAGAAAAGCTGTAAAAACTACAAGCCTCGGCGCATGCGCAGCTGCGGAGTCCTGTGCCTGCTCTAACTATAGTTCCCGGCGTGCCCCGCGCCGCAGGAGGCCTGTGGTGAGAGCTGCGCTCTGCTGTCCCCCGCCGGCGGCCGGCAGACGGTCCCGCGTCTGCTCCGGTCCCCGCCCCTCACCCCGAGCCGTGGACATGGAGGTGGACGTCGGCTCCGTGGTCTTGGGGCTGTCGGGCGGGGATGGAGCAGGCGCGGGCCCGGCCGATGAGGATCAGGAGATGGAAGGGGCTCCCAGCTGTTCGGGGGCGCACCCCGTCCCCTTCGAGTTCGAGCGGAGCCGCTCGGAGTTCAGCGCTGATGAGGACGACGACGAAGACGACGACGAAGAGGAGATGGAGGAAGAAGAGCTCGAGGGGGACCCCGGGACTCGGTTCGGGACTGACGACGGGGACCTCGACTCGGACGACGACCGTGAGGTAAAAGCGGGGACGGGGGGGGCGGCGACGCACCGGCTGCCACCCGCGCAACGGCTGTATCGCGCGCCAGGCCCCGCTCCCGGCGTGCTCGGCCCCGCTCCGTTGGTGGGAGCGTGCGGCTCGGGGCTGCGGGCCGGGGGTGGGGGGTTTGTGTGCTACAATGTCCCACAATAGCGGCACGGCCGGGGCCTGTGGGGGGCCGGGGCGGCTGCGACCAGGGCAGAGCGGGGCAGCGGACGGCCCTGAGGTGAGGGCAGCAGTGTGAGCGTGAGGGCACGAGGCGCTCGGGAGCAAGCCCTGCCTGCGGTGGGAATGCTGCTGGGTGTGAAGCGCTGTGTCTTCAGGGAGGCCCCGCGTCTGCAGCAGCCCGCGGTTACCAACCGGGTCCTCTAAGCAGTGGATGTCAACTTAGATGTTTTAGAAAGTTGTAGGTGCGAATCTGGACCCGTGTCTAGGCAATGTAATCCATGTGGTGATAGGCTTTTTATTATTACCCGAGTTAATTTTATCTGTCTCATGTAAATGAAGCCCTTGCAAACTCTTGGCATAGCTTGACAGGGTGGTAGAGGGAATGTTCAGAGAAGGGCAGTGAGGCTGGTGAACGATCCGAGCACAAGTCTTATGAGGAGTGGCTGAAGGAACTTGGAGTGTTTAGTCCGGAGAAGACTCAAGGCGGACCTTATTGTTCAACAGCTACCTGAAAGGAGGTTATAGTGAGGTGGCGGTCAGTCTCTTCTCCCAAGAGGCATGTGATAGGACAAGAGATCATGGCCTCAAGCTGTGCCAGGGGAGGTTTAGGTTGGATATTAGGAAAAATTTCTTCATCAAAAGGGTGATCAGATATTGGAACAGGCTGCCCAGAGCAGTGGTGGAATCGCTGTCCCTGGAAGTGTTAAACACTTAAAAAAACTTCTGAAAAAGTAGATGGGGCTCTTAGTAACATGGTTTAGTGGTGGACTTGGCAGTCCCTGGGTAAAGGTTGGACTTGATCTTAAAGATCTTTTTCAACCTAGTTGTTTTATGATTCTATGAAAGAAAATATGGGCAAAGTGACTGGTGTCATTGAGGGAAAGAAAGCCCTTTACTCTGGCTTTGAGACTAGAGGAAACAATATAAAAATCTAACACATTACCTTTTTCAGGCAGATCTTGGATCATTGCTATAGAATAAATCTGTTCTTTTTTGAGAAAGTATACTTCCAACATGAAAATATATTATTATGTGCTACCAATATGCACTTAAAGCTTGCTGATCAGTTGATATTCTGTTAAATAGTTTATCCAAAATAACTTTTCCCAAAGGAATCATTTATCGTTTGCTTTTTAGGTATGATTAATGAGACCCATTTGATTGCCATTCACAGAAATGTCAATTCAGAAAACTAGGTGAAAGTCTTTAGAAAAGGCCTGTGTATGAGGATTGATTGATGTCTTAGGAAAATCAGGATTTTTTGCCTGATTTAAGGCTGTGGAAATTTCATGGCTTAGCGTGTGTATTGAAACTCTTACAAACTGTCTTTGTTTGTAGCGTATGATAAATCTCGCAGAGTTGACCCCTTACATCCTGTGTTCCATCTGCAAAGGTTACTTTATTGATGCTACAACCATTACAGAATGTCTGCACACCTGTAAGTATCGGTATTTTCATTCTGAGAGTTTAGCTACAAATTCAAACAATAATCAGCTGTTGAGATGTTCTGGCTTCACAAAGATAATTCTCTGTTTGCAGTGACATGTTGTTTGTTCAGTTCCTTAAGGAAAATACATTTGTGGATGTTTTAAGCATCAGAAAATCATGAAATCAATCAATCATGAAGTCAGTTTAGTTTCCCAGGTTAAGAGGGAAGAAGATGTAGGGAAAGATAAATCCCAAATAAAACAAAAATAGAGCTACTTCTTTTTTTCTTTTTTTCTTTTTTCTTTTTTTTTTTTTTTTAACTATTTGGTTTTGAGTAGGCTCTAGGAATTTGAGTATATAACTGAGAAAAGGTTGAGTGGCTCTGCTCACAATGTACGAGAGAGTTTCCAAAACTGTTGTTGATATGTTTAAATTCACAAAACTCAGTAAGCAACTGTGTGGAAGTACCAGTTCAGACACAGAAAGGTTATATGCACCCATGGAGCCGTTAGTCTATGATCTGATGAGTAGAAATATTTGGATAATAAAAAACAGATTCCAGTACTCTTGTCATTTTTTCCCTCAATCCTTGTGTTAACGGTTTTTCCATTGCTAACACAACTGTTTTTTTCTCATAGCTAATAAAACTTTCTGTGAAGTTGCCACTTTCAGCCATTCTCGTGTTCCTACCTGAATCCAAGAATTACAGCTTCTTAGTCCTTCCAGCCACTACCAGAGGAAGAGCATGCCCTTCCCACCCCTCCTAACCTTCCCTTTCATGGGGCGCTGCTCGCTAGTTTGATATATACCATGTAACATTCAGGACAGTTTGTACTTCTGGAAAATGCACAGCTGTCTAGTAGGGACAGCATAATGTTGCAAGTGCAACTTGGTGGTGGTCTCTCAGAAGTTTCCTGGTAAATGTTACAGAAAGGCCTGATGTGTTCAGGCTGATATGGAGCTGATTTGATAGTGGGTTATTTAAGTATTTAAACTTAGTAGCTTTCCTTCCAAATTTTTAAAGTACATGTACAGTGAAAACAGCAGAGAGCTTCTGTTTACCTGAGTTGAACAAATTGCTTAATTCTGTCTCTGACAGACTTTGAGAGGTCTGGGTGTACTTGCTCCTCTTGCTTAAACAGATGGTATTGTGTAATGATGTGTAACTTCTATGGGGTTTCTTTTCTTTACAGTTTGTAAAAGCTGCATAGTGAGACACTTCTACTATAGCAACAGGTGTCCAAAATGCAATATTGTTGTACATCAGACACAACCCCTTTATAATATCAGGTAATAAGTTCATGCCATTTTTATGGGTTTGGGCCGGTTTGTGTTTTTCAAGTTGGGATGCTTGCTTTTAAATGTTCTGTTTTACAGACTTGTAGTGCTTTCCTGTTTCAAATGAATGAAGAGTGATAAGAAACAGACTGTTTTTTCTTTATATAAGTTTAATCACAACAGTGAGGATAAAATGCTCAATTTGTTTTATCTAGTTTGTACCCCTTCTTAGGATTTGTTCCCCCTCCCCAGGTGTTTTTATGCATTTGCTCTGTGTTACAGGTGATATGGGATCTTAATTTTGTGCTTTGATTTACTTTTAAACAGTTTTGTTGGCATAGTATACTTAACTCTGAAAATCGAGGTTTTAGTTTCTCGAATGGTATGTGAATTCTTGGAAGGGTGATGCTTTTAACATTACATGGCTTCTGTTGGAGCTCTTCTGTCAGGACATGAATATAGACAGATACAGAGTTCTTGCTCTGTCACCCTTCTCTTTGGGTGTCACATTTCAACAGTGTGTTTGGCATCTCTATAACCTTTTAATGAAAGCCATTCTGTATTGCACCAAAGACTCTTTTTTACTCTTTAACAGGCTGGACCGACAACTGCAAGACATAGTTTATAAATTAGTTGTCAATTTGGAGGAAAGTAAGTCCCTTTCTTTTTTTATTACCATCTAGAGATTTAAAAGACTGAACAGAAAACAGATTAATTCAAAGTCCTGTTTCTACTCTAGACTCTTTAAAATAGCTTTGTAATAGTTAGTTATAAATCTTCATCAATTACCTGTGACAACTGGCATCTTTCTGGTTGCTACATGCTATTATGGACAGTGGTACATATCCTATGAAACACAGGTTTCATGTCAAACACCATATCCAGATAAACATCCAAATAATATTTAATTGTCATATTTTTGTGTAAGTAGAGAAAATACCATTCCATGTAATAAGTTCACTTGGCTCAGTTGAAAAAAGGTTGCTAAGACTGATTCCCTCAAATGCTTTTACTTGTTTCTCACTGTCACATTATTTTTCTGATTTTTAGATGTGCTCACGC